ATAAAGTCACAATAAAGGCGAATTCAGGCCCTATTCTTCTCTGTCAATAGTCAATCACTGTTGACTTGTTATTCACTTTGTTACCCACGCCACAGTGTGGTACAGGATATTACGTCTTTGTGCATTTATTTGTAACATAGAAAAGGTAGCGGGATAAACCCATAGTTCCTTTTCATGATCCTAATAAAATAACATTCTGAATAGATTTATGCATGTCCATCCGTCTATCCATTTATTTTTATATTATTTCAATTTTGTAAATAGGTCGCATTTATTGCCCGATCGAGATGAAATTGTCCACAAATAATTGTTTGGCCCAAGGACATAGGGTTCGTCCTTGATCAAAAATTAGATTTAGCTCCCATATATCTTAGTCCGATTTGCCATTCATTGTCCACCAAATGTATAATATTAATCGCAATAGGATTAAAATTGGCACTTGGTGAAAATCGGTTGAGATATAGCTATAGCTCCCATATGTATTATTCGTCCGATATTTAATTTTTTCCTTCACAGCCGTAATATGGAATCCGTAACAACGATATTAGGGGAAATGTATCAAATACAGCTCAGATATACCTTTGCCAACTTTTATCGAGATCGGTTCGGATTTGGATATAGCTCCCATATACATCTTAACTCGATTACAAGTTTATTGTGCGCCAAATGGTTAATATAAGCCCGAATTGAACTTATTTTGGCATATACGAAAAATTCAGCCTAGAAAAAAGAGTATCGAATTTTGTGAAAATCAGTTCAGATATTGCTACATATCCCATATATATGATTCATCCAACAACGATTTTTGACCCTATCAATCAGATACAGCATAGAAATACTTCTCCAAAATTTTACGGAGACTGGTTCAGTTTTGAATGTAGCTCCCTTCAATTGATTTCAGCCTAAAAATATCAGTTCAAATAGGATGCATTTTGATGAATAGCGGTTGAAACACAAATGCCATAATCAAATTTAGTAAAAATTAGGGGGAAGATATTCCTTTATATATATAATTTGCTTTCGGCTTCAAATTATAGTCATAATACCCATTAAAAATCGATCATATTTGGTATGATTTAATTTAAATAAATTCCCCATAAAAACGTTTTTTTTTTTTTGTTATCGATAGCTCAACTAAATATGCAAAGTGGTGTGAGGCCTTTTTTTACTGTCTTTTACTTGTTTAATACTTAAACACCTTTACCTCTCCTATGTTTCCAACTTTTTTGTCTGAAATGTTTGCCTTCTTTGCCTTAGTTGTGTAGAGAGCTTACATTGTCAGCTTTTACTCCCTACCTATATTTTACTTGTTTGAAAAGATAATCTAATTGTTATTACTCTAATTTATGTTCAGCAAACTGGTTGGATTGCCTGCCTGATACAGATTTTACACTCACTTTTTTTGGCTTGCACATTTTTGGCAATAATTTTGAAAAAATAATTTTGATGGTGATTGGGCAAGACTTCATATAGCCGTGATCGTCTAGTGGTTAGGACCCTACGTTGTGGCCGTAGTAACCCAGGTTCGAATCCTGGTCACGGCAATGTTCCCGCGGGGCAACATTGTCACGGATGAAGTTGTTTTTTTTTTACTTCTAAAATATATACATAGGATTAGGATTATAACAAATAATTTTGTAAAATATTTTAATTTCCATCTAAATGGACTTTTTAGCCATATTTGAAAAAAAAAACAAAAAGTCGTTTTGGGTGACGCGTGCCTTTACCCTTTTTAACTTTATTTTCATAATCAGCAGGAATTATTGGAAAACCTGAATTTTGTCGCACACTGTAATTAAAACGATATTTAATTCATATACCAGAAGTCAACTAATTCCTAGAAATCTGAATCCGAAAATTTCAAAAAATGTGGATGTTGGAAGAACTTGCCCCTTGAATTTAGGTCGATTCTAAGTCGATTTAACGATGTCCGTCTTTCTTTCGAAATCACGATACAGCCCACATTTTTTGACGTAGAGCGTCAAAATTGAGTAGAACAATACAATTGGTGTTTGGGATGGTTGGTATTGAAAATGAGATATATCGGTCGTTTTGGTATAATCCCCATATAACGGTACCTTTCGATATTCGGTATTTTGTTGATTATTGCCACATTTTTTCACGGATTTGTCTAAAAATTGGTATTTTCAGGTCATAATGGGTTCTAGCTCGAGTGGTGAAACATTGTATGTATATGTCCAGGTTTTGGTATAACCCCCATATAACGGCACCTCCCGATATTCGGTGTTTTGATGATTTTTCCACATATTTTCATGGATTTGTCTAAAAATTGGTATTTGTAGGTCATAATGGGTTTTAGCTCGTGCGACGAAATATTGTATGTATAGGTTCACGATTTGGTATAGCCCCCATACAAGGGTCCCTCCCGATATTCGGTATATTGGTAATTTTGGCCACATTTTTTCACGGATTTGTCTAAAAATTGGTATTTGTAGGTCATAATGGGTTCTAGCCTACCTTTCGATATTCGGTATTTTGTTGATTATTGCCACATTTTTTCACGGATTTGTCTAAAAATTGGTATTTGTAGGTCATAATGGGTTCTAGCTCGAGTGGTGAAACATCGTATGTAGATGTCCAGGTTTGGTATATCCCCCATATATCGGTACCGGCCGATATTCGATATTTTAATAAAAATTGATATTTTTAGTTCATAATGGGCAGAACATTAAATATTCAGTTCTACTTTTTCTTATAACGCACATATAAGGATACCCACCGATATTCCGTATTTTGATAATCCTAGTCACATTTACCCACATAATTGTTTCAAATTTGGTCTTTTATAAGATTTGATAGATGGCAATCCTTGAAGTATAAAATTGTCTGTTCCCGTTCCCGTTTTAGTGCGGCCCCATATAACGGCCTCTGTCATTTGAAGGTTTTTTGATAAGTTTAACAGCATTATGCAAAAGGTCTTACTGGTAAAACACCCTTGAATTCAGATACTTTTATACAAAAATGTTTCCTTTACCCTAAGGTGGAGGGTATTAAAAGTTCGGCCCGGCCGAACTTAATGTTTTATTTTTGCTTGTTAGCTCCATTTTCATAATCTGCAGGATTTTCCTGTAATTATTGGAAAAAAAATTATTTTGTCGCACAGTGTAATCAAAACTGTATTCAATTCGTAAAAAATACTAGAGGTGTCTCAGACTTCTTTAAAATATTTTACATTTTCAGCACTGCTTCGAACTACACATGCACTTTTATTCCTCTCTTTTTGCGGCCAAGACAATCCTTACATTTTAAATGTTCAATAATTTTCCGAACTGCCTGGTTGCAATCATTATTGTAAAACAAAATTCAGAAACGGGCGCTTCCGCCACAGGTAATAACACGAATACACACATGTGTACATTGGTAATTAATTCATATTTCAATGAATATCTCACATATTTTCAAAAGATTACTATTTATGTGGCCAATACGTTTAGCGCTCCCACAACAACAAATTTGCAGTGAAGTGAAGAGTGCCGGTGTACATTGGGAACATGTTGTAATTACCATCAACACACACACACAAATACTATTTTCATGTTTATCGTAAAATTTGCCAATATCAAAACCCCTCACTAAGGATATTATGATTGAATTGAAAAGCGAGGGGGGGGGGGGCATTCTCTCATACACCCCTACCCCTCGTAGCATCACTATAAAACGTATAATTACAATAAAGATTACAATTATTACACACATTTTCATATTATTGATGTTAAATGAGCACGCGAGAATTGTATCTGGGTATAAGTACCTGTATTTTGATTTTAATATCCCACTACCATCGATACGGATAGACCAATGCCAATATCTCTGCTCAACGACATACATACATATATATGTATATATGTATACTACCCTCCAATGCCAATAGCATTTGTTGACCACAAATAAGGGTAATTTCGAAAATTCGATGAGGGACCATAAGAATGGAAGGACGGCGGGTATGGGACGTTACTGGCTCATTCAAATAACTACTGTGCTAGATAATAAAAATTGGCAATTTATGCAACAATCAAGGCTCACCAACCAACACACCCACACTCAGCAGGATAGTATAGGATCTATATATACGTAAATTTTCAATTCATATCAACAGATTGTAGCAATTTGATATGTGGAATTGTGTGTGTGTGTCGGTGTGCGCTTATGTGGTTTTAATGAAATTTTAAATTGAAATATTATAAAGCTCCTCCACCATGGAGATCTGTGCACCAACCATGTCATCATCAATTTGAGGTCAATCACTGTTCAATTGAAGTGTTTTTATTAGGAATTTTCAAATTGCCCCATAAAAGTGTGTAACAGATTTTATTCGAAATCGATAATAAAATTTTGGGAATTGTAATTTAACTTGACGATTAGGTGGTATAAGGAAAAAGTAACACAAATAGTTCCAGATTTTCAATGTCGATACGGAAAACAAATTAAAATATTTGACACTATAAAGAAACTAAAATTGAGGGTATTTTATTATGGTTCACCTAAAATATACAATTTTAGTTTATTTGGACAGATATTAGCCATTAAGAGCACAATTATCCTGAAATCGGATTAAGAATATATACAGGGTGAGATGAAAAAACTGCAACCTTTACTTATATTCCTACAACTTATTTATTTAATTTTTTCATTAATCTTTGGCTATGAAAAACGTCTTCATTCAAACTGTTGTTCATGAGAAAGTATTATCCAATTTAGTTTTTACAATATTTTCTTAAGAGTAAAATTTTCTCCAACCAAGTTTTCTGAATAAAAAAGTAATAACAAATAAAATAAAAAATAGTTTCACCCGTGACAATGTTTCCCGTGGGAACATTGCCGTGACCAGGATTCGAACCTGGGTTACTACGGCCACAACGTAGGGTCCTAACCACTAGACGATCACGGCTACGTGAAACCTTGAAGTTGCGCGGTTAAAAATACATTATTAGATTAGACAAGCCACCCATAATATTCATATCTAAAAACAAATTTGAAAGTGATTATAAATAGTAGTTTATTTAATTTCTTTTTCTTTTAGTCACATTTATTATGCTCATAACATAAATTTCAAAACTAAAATAGCTACTGCATATGTCAGTGGATAGATTTATGATTCATACATTTAAAAACAGGTTGTTAGGCATTAAAAGGAAACATGCTGTGCCCTGGGGCTTTTGTCTTGACTGTGCGAAAAAATGTCCTTTATTCCACATCTCTCCAACAAGGATATTCCCTTACTAAGGTGAGTATGTATTTTCCCACCATATTACAGTTCCATCAAATTTCCCCTTGAACATTTTCCCATTCAGTGGATATTACAACAGCCAAATGTAAATAACTCGACATTTAAATTTTAATTTCAATTCTCACTTAACATCCTTTAATAATCTCCCACTATTAAAGCAGCACCGGATAAAAGCACAGTGTCAACATTCTCTGTTGTTGCAACTTCAAATTCACACAGCAACTGTTCGCGTTTAGCATTGGTGTAGACAGGCAGCAGAGTGGTGTTGCCACTTGTACTTCCTCGGCTTACCGTACGCAAATCCTGCATATTCTTTTCATCTTTTTCTTTAAATGTTATTAGAAATTCGGGTGATTGTTCATTTTCGGTCGTTGCTGCTGCTGAGGTGTCATTGTTGTTGGTGATTTGTAATTTACCATAGCTGAAAGTGGCGCCATTTACCTGTGATGAATTGGGAAAAGAATATATACATACCAAATTAGTATGGACATGAACACAAGTGCTGAGCGATAATTTGTAATAGATTGAAAATAATACAACGGCAAAATCCACATGTTTGGGGCGTTTTTACACCACTAACCATATGTTTATGAAGTTATGCACTGCGTAAATTACATCAAATATTTATCAATACTTAAAGCATTTAAAATATAATTCACAAATAAATTTTAGAAACAAATAAATTTTAATAAAATTTGATACGAAAAGGTTAAAAAATAATAAGTGATCTCTAGCTATGTTTTTAACTGTACTATAGCAAGAGGGAGAATAAAGCGTCATCTTCATTTCAATATCTTTTCTGGGGGCATATACTAGCAAAATATATACATATATAAAGAAAACATTTTCATTTTTTTTTCAAATTCAATAGTAACCATGCTTGAAGAATATATGTAGATGCACCAACGCATGAGAACATTGACATGTCAAAATTTTTAAAATGTGTTTTCAAAAAGAAGTAGATATTTATATGCTTTCTTATATGACGACAATCGGAAGTTGTTATAATATGCATTTTCAATAATTTTAACGAATTTGATTAATTTTTCATTCAAAATTGGTTTTACCCAGCAGCTGTGTCGATGCGACTACCTGTATTTTTCCACCATGGCTGCAACAATTTGTATATTTTCGACGTTAATGGATAATAAACAAATTTTGTGGATAAGGCAATATCATGTTGAATACTGAAATTTTCTAACTATAATTTAAATAAAACCAATTGTTGCATGCTTTGAAAGTCTTTTTGACACAATTAGACTCTAGTACAGGGTTGTATTTTTATAGTTTCCTTAATGCCCCTTTCTAATTGCGCCATGGGAGAAATTATATACATAGTCAATAGAGTTTATGTAGTAACTTTTTTTTGATTTTTTCCCTTTGAAAAAAAAAACTTCTCAAACTTTTTCTTTCGGGTTGTTAGATGCAACAGAAATACACGTTAACAGGCAACAAAATGTATAATTTAGGTAAAAAAAACAATATTGGCCCTCTATCTTGGATTCAATTTTGTTGAAAACACAATAAAGTACTTTTGGGGAAAAATTGTAAAATAGTCAAATCCTATTGATGCATGTTTGAAAATCTATTTGATACAAAAAATGCTCCAGTACATTGCTGCATTATTCGTATTTTCTTTTAAGTTGAACAAACTTTTGTGTTGAGCCATAACACACAATGCAAAATATTTTTCACATTCCAAAGCTGGACGTTACATTGGATATTTTTTGCGAGAAGTAAATCTAAACACAGAGTACCCGAAATGTTAAATTACAAGTGGTTTGGTTGGAAATTGGGTCAATACCGAAAATCTCTAAGTACCAAGTATTTCCTACGCCTTAACATTAACGGGACAGCGATGGCATTGATTACTGTAAAATATGTCAGGACGAAGAAGAAATTGAGACGATCGAACATCTGCTCTGCCGCTGTCCAGCACTCGTTAACGTGAGACACAGGTTGGTGGGGGAACAAATGTCACATGATTTGTCTTCGTTCTCTACACTGACCCTACAGTCATTCTTCAATTAGCCAGAAAATTTAAGTGACTAAAGGCGACACGACAAGATCTCCATAATTGTTCGAACTCTGTTGAGACTAACCAACAAACTGACGGGCATTTCATATGCGATCGGTATAAAAATAACAAATCTCTGAAAACAACTTATTGCGTGCCATTTTAATTAATTCTAACAGCTGTCAGCGTTGTATTTTAGTAGCTTTTACCTTATGTGATATAGACACAAAGACCAATAAAATTACCTAGTCTTTGGTAAATGTAGTTGCTTTAAATAGATTAAAAAGCTTTTTTGTGACAAAAGTTAACAATCCGTATATATTCGGGGTATATAGATATTTATAATTAAATATATATTTTCAAACCAATCTAGAGCACAGATTTAGTACTTTCACTAATATTTTAGTTAAAATCCATTTAACTACCCTGTGTAAATACTTCATACCACCGAAATACAACCCTGTGTTACCACCTCCATGCATTCTCTTACTATCTACACAAACACATCTAATCTATTACGTTATCTGTCAAATCCGTACCGTGATGTCTGATGTCAATCAAAAACAAAAAAATTAACACAAAAAAGCGACAATACACAGAGAAAGAAAGAATTTTAATAGAATATTTTCAATTAAACAGTATTATTAAAATAACAAATTATTAGTGGATTAGTGCAGCAACACCATCAGAGTGGCATTTTATGGCGAAAATGGGGAAGGTAAGCTATAAAAGCAGTGCATCAGTCAAAGAAACAATGGGAAAGCCGAGACAGAAATGTGTGCGAGAAAAAATGCAATGCATCAGACCGATCAAACAAATTACGAAAAACTATCAACTTATTTACAACAATTTTATTGCAGGGATTAGTAGGCGAAAAATGTTACATAAAAGGAATCCAATGAAATTCCCTTAAGAGCTAAAAAAGGCTGTAGTACAGTTTTAATAACATTTGGCCCTTTGTACTTACCCTCAGAGGTTTCACCTTCAATTGCACCTGTATATCGTTGGCGCCGTCATTTCGCTGATTATATGCCGAGTTCGATTGTATGGCATGTGATGCGATTTGTAGATTTTTACAAGATTTTTGTTGTTTATGCGAATTAATTAGCTTCAATGAAGAAATCAAAGTCTGACAATTGTACACAGTACTCAGATCAATTTCATCGATAAAGTCCAAATGTTGAGTGGTACGATAGCGTGTCTCTGTTGCCATTGCCCGATGCATAAATGCTTTGATGTAGTCCAATGCATTCGCAGGTCCTGACCATATTCTTTGCCACTCGAGTGGTACCTTTAAAAGAGATGATGTTGCCTTTAAAATATTGTTTTATATTTTAGTAGATTCCTTTGCGCTCACTTGATTCAAGGCCAATATATTTAATGATTTTCCAGCATTGTTGTTCCGGTTCGTTTGCCTTTCTTTTGTTGCATTATAGGCTTGACTTAGAGTTGTGTGAATCTTCTGATATCCTTGGCCACCGGTTTTCAACTCACTATAGAGAAATACTATCCAAGGTTTTGATGATTTCTGGTCATCGGATAGTTCCTGTGCTGTTACGTCTATTGAACAGTTCTGAAAGCATAGACAGGGTGAAATGTTAGAATGATTTGTTTTGTATTGAAAATGTCCATTGCAGAAAATTGGAATATAAATACGGATGATATGACATCAAATGAAATAACAGCTTGTTAAAATTAGTATTTGTAGCCTGTTGCATTATCATAAACAAGTTTCCATTGTTTGAACCATTAAAAGATATGATAAACCCCCCAATTATTGGTATTTTTGACGATTCTAATTACATTGTTGAGCTGTATTGATACCATAGTCACTTTGTCCAAACAAAATGCCAAAATGGCCTTTGGTCCTCAGTGTTTATAAGTTGAAATAATTAATATTTAATTAATATTGGTTCGTTTTCCACATTGGCCCGAAATAGCGCATCAGATAGATTTTAGTTGCGTTAATATCGCTAGGCACATTTTCCAATTGAATTAGCACTTCTTTTTTATCCGATTGGGTTGTAGCTTAGTACTTTAATGGGTAATAGGAGACCGCATCTGACCGTTTGTTTTAATTATTTTTTATTTTGGAGATTTGAATATATTTTTGCAGGATAGTCAATTTGATCATAAGTTCAGTTTTACATGTTCGAGGACCAAAGAAGATGGACGGTCTAAACTAGATGTCAATTCGAATTATTAAATGTAGTCTGTGAATAGCCAAGTTTTAGCTCCAGTGCCGTATTCCTTCTTCACGTCCGTTGTTATTGTATATTGTCCCCTATTTCTTGCGAATTACTTGTTTTATGGAATCTTTATTGCTGTAATCGATTTCCTTTCCAGAACTGTTTACTCAACTTATTTTAATTTCATATTTTTCTCTTATTCTCTTTTCAGAAAGTAATGTTATATGAATATTATATATTTCTATGAAAATGAATTGGACTTGTGTGAACTCAGTGTGAAATAATCTTAAAAGTGCAGAAGTTTGAATTTGCAGTTGAAATCCGCAGTTTAAACCGAAAAAAATTGATATCCAAATTAATGCAATGGGCAAGAAACAGACATTGGTACGAAAAAACAAATTCATTAAAAAAGTACAAATAACTTGAAAATATTAGATTTATTGTCTCCCGAAATGAGTAGACACAACGTGGAATTTGATTTTTAAAAAAATCTGTGAAAAACATATTCTACGACTGGAGTAGTGAAAAGGCCATACTTTTGGTTTTGAAAAATAACAGAAAAGTAATTTCTAAAACTCTCTTATGAAAGCGGTGGAATTTGTAAAAAGAATTCAAAATTTTTCAATTACCAAATGTGTATAATTTATGAAAATTTTGAAGCATTTACGAAAAACTTAAGAAAGTTCTGTGTAAAACGAGTTTTCTCTAGAAATGCCAGAAATTGAAGCCCATAAGGTTTCCTAAGTTTTATATTCTATTCTATTAAGTTGCAATGGCTGATGATGTTTCAGCTTTATTTTATCCAGCAAAATTTAGACTGGACTACTGGTATACAAATTTATACTACGTGATAAAATTACCTGAGCCAATTTTCTCCACAGCGCCAATATCGGTTTTATTTGCTTCTCCAATTGCTGATAATTCTGAGGATCTGCATCATCAAGACTTCCACCACTACCACCATAAAATGACATACGCAATTCCTTTAATATTTCCATGCCATAGACAATTTCACGACTAGCATTTGACTTCTTCGATAATTTAAATAACTCCGGTGCATCTTGGGCCGGTAATTTGCTCAAGGCATTCATGTAATCTGACCACTGAGAAGATGTTGGTATAATTACCTTATCATCAAATGGTGACCAACGTGAACTTAACGAATCATTATTGAAAAAAGTTTGTAAATAATTTTGTAAAACTCGTAGATCACGCAAATTATTTATGCGACCACCAAAGGCAACATTTTCATTAAGTTTTTGCATAATCGACCAATCGACACGTCCTCCCAGTGTTATGGAATCTAGCCAGCGTACAATTTGTAAAGCTGCCTTTAGATCGGCTTCGCCAAATTCGTATTTTTGTGACCATCCTTGGGGTATAAAACGACGACGTTCTTGTATGACGGACATTAGTAAAAATAATACCACACGTATTTTCATTAGTTTCGGTTCTTTCAGAATGTTACGATCCTGCTCCATTATGGCATAGTTCTGTAACATTTTCTTACACTTTTGCCGTATTCCCATGGGATATTCGTAAAGTACTTTGATGAACTTGTACATGACAGCTTCACTGAATCCTTGTGTCGATTCACATATCAGCCATAAACGAAAATCATTGGTCTTTTTCATTTCGCCGTATTCTCTTTCCAATTCAATTAACCACTCTGGGACTAAATGTACATTTTTCACACAAACCCATTTACCCAATTCTGCCATTTGACGTATGACTTCCATGGTTTTCCTTTCCATGCCTTTACCAATGGATAGCTCTTCGTATTTATCTTTGCCTTTGAGCCGTAGGGCTACACTCAATATTTCCGATGCTGGGTCATTTTCAGTTTGTGTTATCATCAAAATTGGTTTTGCCGAGGAGCTTTCCTCAACCAATTGTTCAATTGTGGGTTGCTGTATGGATTCAATGGATAAACCAAGAATTTCTTCGGATGTTAGTTTCATATAATAAGTGACCAGATCTGGCCGTAGTATTAGTGTCAATAGAAGTTTCTCAAAATTGGAAATTGTTGTAACTGCAAAGGGAAAATTAGTAGGGGTTATATAATTTAAGTGTTTACAAAATTATTATGTTTACCTGGAACTTCTTGAGTCTGACCCTCAATAAATTGACGCCACATATTGGAGTTGTGTAATTGCAGTTTATCTTCCATTTCAGGTTTCTGCCTCAGCAAAATATTCAATTTCATGGTGGCTTCTTTACCAAAAGTCTCAGAAAATTGTAAACGTCCCATGCCACCAGCACTGCTGATACCACTTCCATCGGCTCCAGACATAAAATTCGTGACAAACAATTCCCATTCATCGTCTTTTATGCGATCACTATAGGCTGTTCTACAGATAAATAACGCCAAGGACAAATGACGATCCTTGGGTATGGAACGAGCCAAATATTGAAAGGTGCCCTTTACCAATTGTCCATAGAATTCCTTTTCCATTTGCCCCGACGTTCTTGCAGTACCTCCAATGTCGTGTAATTCCAAAGCACTTAGGAAAAGTTTGATGAAAACCAATGAAGATAGTTCATAACTGGCTAGAAAATTTACATAGAAAACCGATGCCTTGTTGCAAAGTTCCTTCAGTTGTGTATAATCGGCCAACAGAGTTTCCTTGACAGCAGAACTCTCTTTAAGCGAGTTATCAATGACAGTGCTACTTTCCTTGACCTCATTTAAAGTTTTTAAAAGCTTTTCATTTTTCAAAATATCACCCTGGGCAAATGATAGTTCTTCGAGCAGCTTATCCTCCAACTCAATACGTTGTTTCAGTAACACACCTTCATTTCGCAAAAGCTCAACACGTTTTTGTTCCAGGCTGGGATTTTTCATAATAATGGCCTTGGACATAAGTTGATCGCTTAGGCCCACTGCCGTCACTGTGAATGGTATGCAATTGAGATAGGTAGCCGTTTCTGGTTGTATATTCAATTTTGGAGTTTTTGTTACCAAAACCAATTGAAATTGTTCATGTAAATCGACCAATTTTGTACCAACTTCTATTTGACGTTTATTGAATTTCATATAAACTTTATACGATAGCAGTTGCATCAATGGCGGTCTCAACTCTTGACAATCTTCTACAATGAAAATTTTACCAAAACGTATGGCCAGCTCTAAGTTGTAATTCAGTTTTTGATTATTTTGTGATATTATTTCATATGGTTTTTCTTTGGATTTTAGGTACTCGCCCAACCAATTCACTGCCGTCTCTGTTGGATCTATCAATAATGGTATGGGATATGATGCAAATGGCAAATCCAACATTTGCCGTAGTAGTGCTGCATTCTGTATGATTTGAGCATCTCTGGCCAAACCCATACTTTCCCAAATGATTTGTTCTTGTTCGGTTAGTAGAGTTTTCTCCAAATCGAAGGTGTCTTTTAGTTGTAGCTCTGTGCTGAGCTGTTGCAGGGAAGAGCTGAATGTAAAGGGAGATAACATATTTTTTGAATCAGCACTTTTTGGTTTTAATTAAAGGTCTCTAGAAAAGAAGGCATAGAAATTATGGGTCCCATATTGTGGACATTATTTAATCTTAAAAAATGATTACTGTTCAAGAAATTATATTGTGGTATGATATATGTATAATCTCTAAAATAAGTTCTATATCTGTTCCATATCTAAAAGGCCCTGTAAAATTTTAAACATTTAACATGGACAGAAGCACGGGGAAACACATAGCTAGATCAATTCAACAGAGGGTCCAGAGTAGCTTAGGTTATATTTGTTATTTTATAGAAACAAAATCTGTCGTCTTTTTAAGGTCTTCTGGACACCTTAAAGGTAGAATATCTGGTAGAGGTCTTTTGCTGTTCTAGTTTTTTTTTTTATAAGTTTTGTTTTTTGTGTAGAAAGCTATTTCTAGACCTTTTTTAGGTCGAAAACCTTAAATAAGTCTTATAAGACCATTTTGGCCTTCAATAAATATAATACCATCCTTAGGTCTTTTATAGGTATTATGGGGGTTTTCCTTTCGAAGACCCAAACTTACCTCCTCTGCTTCAACGACATATGGGCAAAATAGTTCAATGCCAATGCCATCATTAACGACTTGGAATCCAGCGTCTTAAATGCTCCCTTATATTCGTCCAATTGTAAATTCCATGTCTGATATTCTGAACTTAGTTGTTGAACTAAGATTTCCGCAGCTTTTAAGGTATTTCTTGCTTCTTCAAGTTTCAACTCCAGCACGGCAGCTTCTTGGGTATAAGAATTCAATTTAGCCGATAATTGTTTAACACGGTTATCAACATCATCTAGACCGGTCATTAGCGATTGCATTTCTCCCTCTGCCGCATCGAGATTACGTTGTAGTTCCTTTTGCTCCCTTTCCAGGGGTTTAATACTCTGTATAACTTTCGAATAACGTACGCTTGCCTTAACCCATGCAGCCAATGGTGCAGCTGCAGCCGATGCCCGCTTGGCATTTTTCATTTCAAATGATTCCGCTTTGTTGGCTAAAAGTTTTTCAACAGCTTCACAATTTTCCGGATTTATTCGAGCTGGATCCAGTGAACGTATGTCTTCCTTAACACCACGTTTGGCCAGAAAAGTTTTCATGCTATTCCACGAAGTGTCACGTATACCCATGAGACGTAGCACACCTTCCAATATATCGCGGATAGTTTCAGGTGGTGCTCGCAACGAACGTATTTCAGAGAGGGCTTCTGACTTGATTTGTCCAACGGCAGTACTTGCTTCGGCCAATATCGGTTCAACTTCAGCCAGTTCTTCTTGAATTTCTTTTTGTCGCTCCTTGAGTTTTTCACTACTAATTTGAGTTTGTTTCTTCAGCTCCAACATGTTTGTTTTCTGCTCATTGGCATTTTTCATTGTGGATGATATCATTTCCAATGCCTCATTGGCTAGTTTGCGTTTCTCAGCCAGTGCCGTCTCTTGCTTTGAGGCATTCGATTTGAGAGTATCGACCACAGCATGGGCTGATGCTAATTTGTCTACGCCATGCTGAAATATTGGGGAAAATAAATTCAAATTTTACAATCTGTTGAAATATTCTGAATTTACCTGTAATTTTTCCAATCTCTTACTTATCTCCTGTGATAAATTTCCATAAATATAATAGTATGATTTTATTAATTGATAAAATCTTAAGGGGGCTTGACGACCAAAAACGATATCCAAAATTTCTGAAAAGTATGAAGAAACAGATATCTTTCCCTTGGCCTGTTGGCTTCCCATTGACATATCACATAATGTTTCCACATATTTTTTGGGTAACATATTTAAAGTTTCATTTGACATAGTCCTTAGGTACAACATCTCCATATTTCTATAGAGGGCGGGATATTTTTGAAAATATTCATCAACATTACTGCTCGAGGGATCCAAACAAATAATCAAATGTAGATTTTCTCTTGCCCCTGTTATAAAAATAAAATACAATTAATGCATATTTGTTTTGCCCATCCTCCTACTTACGTTTCATAAAATATGAACCCAATGATTCTTGAAAACCCTCCAATTGGGCTGAATGCTTCAATGAACTTGCTATCGACTCTAAATCATCACCAAATAAATCCAATATTTCACTATCTTCAAGTATGGCCTCAATGGGTTTCATTATATCCGGCACGTACGTTAACCAACAATGTTCGATGACTAAACAGGTGCATTGATTCTCTAAAGATGCCATTTGCATTGCCTACACAGCCATGGGAAAACAAAACAATTCATTGTTATATGCCTTCGCAGCCATACGCCATTTGACCAACCATCGTCATTGTTTACTTCTCTACTCGGTACTTACCAATTTCAAATCATTGTAGAAATCTATTAGACCGTAATTGCAACCGCCCTGTAGCATTTGAACTTTAGCCTGTTGCATTGTGGCTGCAGCAAATATAGCATCCATTTGTCGACTTCCTGCCTCACCCACCAATAGTATGTGGCTGCTATTTCGCGCCAATAGTCGTGCTATTTTTGCCGTTTGTTCCAGCATCTCCTTTGTTGTGGGTGCATCAATGATAAAACTTTCCGAGTCTATGTGTAAAGAATGGAATTTGGAAAATACGTTACGTTTTCGGAGGCGTTTTTTGGGTCAGTCATTGTATGTGTATGTATGTATATATGCAAGCCTTATTTACTTACTGCATATGGTAACTTGTTTTTGTACTTCATCCAGCCATTCATCATGTTGCAGAGCCTGCAACTCCACATTGTGTTTGGTCGATTTGGGTACGAAGAAGATTTTCTGGGAAAGTAGGCAAAATTTGATTTCAAAATTTAAGGTTTAATTTTTTAAATTTTAGTATTGTTAAGTTAGTTTTGAGTAGTATTTAGTAATTCTATGAAGCTAAATGTTTATGGAAAGCTTGGGTATTTTATTGGGTCTTGGTATAAAAAACATCCCGATTTCATCCCTAAGATTAGTGGGGATATACAATCATTCCCTTTCGAACTTTGGAAATATTCGTCTGGGTCTTCAAATATTTATTTAATGATGTCCGCCTGTATGTCTGTCCGTTGAAAAGAAGATACAGTCCAATTTATTTGCCGGAGAGTTTGGAAATACCGGTATTCTTTAAAATTAAGAGTTCGTAATGGTTGTTACCTTCTGTGGCAGGACATTGTCAGTATAAGTCCACGTTTTTCCCATAGTTCTTACATAAAGGTTCCTCCCAATTTTCGGTATTTTGATGATATTATCCACATTTTTTAAAAGTTTTTTTAGAGAAGGTTTCAAACTTGGTTTTGGTGGATGCCAACCACTATGGCTGATAATTCAGTATGCTTGTGATTTTAACCACCTTTTTATCGGAATTTGTCAAATAAATACTTGACACTCGCAAAAGATGCCAACCCCTGGAACAGAAAGTTTTATGTCTGTGTAAAAATTTGTCGTTTTGGTGCGCCCTTCACAAAACGGAACTGCCCACTTTAAATTTAAAGACTTTTAATTAATTTTCCAATCTATTTCGCTGGAATTTGCAGCAAAAAGTGAAACTCGTTTAAATATTGAATACCGATACTTATTGTTATAACCATTTTCTTTATCTCGGATGATTGATATTAGAAATGAACTATAGCCGTCTACGCTGTACCTTCACATAACGACACCTCCTGAGTTTCCGAAGCAATATATATTCAAGTATTTGGTAAAGCCCTCATAACTACCAATTTAAAGCTCTTTGGTCCATACGGACTGCGATTTGTCGTTTTGGATTTTCGTTGATGAATGTTCAATACGAACAATTTTCACCGATCACCGTTTTGACATAAAATCGGATTTTTCAGGTGCTAGTTACATTTTCAAAAACGTTCTCTGTTGTTTTAGGTTTTGAAATAAGTCCTAAATATTTACGCTGCTAATTCTGTGTTTGCATCGGACCTGCAGGTATTTGTGGCTGTGATAGGACCCATTCAATCGTAGCAGCTTCCTGAATGTCTGGTAGAGTACATGATCAGCCATTGAATGCAGTGATTGATAGAGTTTTTCAAGCATTGCTGATTATTTTTTAGTGGCCAGTTATGGAGGCGATAATGGGGACGTGGTCTTTGCCGAACGAAATGACTGATTGTGGCAATTCGTTTTGGTCTTTTTGGACTGTTCATATTTATTAAATGCGACACAACTATTTTGATCCGTTAAGACTCATTCGTTCAGAAAAGTTTTAGTTTCTATAATGGCCTATATTGAGTCCCAGTTAAGGGCCGGTTAGGAAATAGAAAACCAAGAAAAGTTGGAACCCTCATTCGGCTTTAAATTTGTAAAGGCTAAAAGTCTTACATTCCGATTAAAGGTCGTGGCTCCCTGTCCGTTATAACAGATCCAAAATAGAATTAGATGTCGTATCCATTATCTAGTTGGCCATGACGCTCCTTAAATTTGTGTCATTTGCTGCTTTGTGTTCTGCTCCTGAAGGTGCAGTTTTTCTGTAGAGCCCGGAATTTGAGTAATTCTAAAATGTAATTTTTCGTCCATAATGGAGGTTGAAGTTATACAAGGCAGAAGTCGTTGAGTTGCAGTCCACTGGTTAAAGTGTGACCCCGTTTGGTCTGGTTTATTTCATAAAAACCTGTCGCCCTTGAATTGAATGTGATAGTATTTCTCTGTGAGGCTAAAATGCACGATGTATATAACCATTGTGTACCATTCAATATTTTCAAGACATACAATTTTACAAGGGACATTTTCCAAGATTTTTAAAAATAATGTTCCCTTTAGTGCCCGTCAATAATAATGTATATATCTCGCAGCATTAAAAAAAAAAAAAAACAAAAAAACAAGAAGAAAAACTTACATCCTTTCCAGCAATTTTCTTCAATGAATGCCTTAAAATAGTCTCAAATTTATCAGCATCTTCTTCGCAGACCAAACGGTCCTTAAACATTGACACCAATTCGCAGTACAAAGCCTTTAGAAGGAAAGAAACAAAGAAGAAATTAATTAAAAAATAGTTGATGAATAAATCGAATTTTTACCCAAAGAAATCAGAAAATAAATTGAATATCAAAAGAAGATTTCCAACTTACCTCATTGAAAGCATCCTCGGGATAGTATTTTAGATTTGTCAATGTTTTTATAATTAATTTCGGTGAAAATTGATAGTGAGTATTGAGAGTTGCGACACCACCACCACCGCCAGTTCCAGCACTTCCATTACCGGTTTCAGTTGTCTTTCCACTTGCGCCTCTTGTTTGTCCAAAGGATAATTGTAACTGCAATGGAGTAGAGCGAACACATACACACACAAATGTCTCAGTTTATATATTATTCTCTTTGGTGTAAATACACAAGAACAACCAAACAGACAGACACATTGGGCACAAACCTTTGCATAAAATTCCATTAAACCCTCAGAAATGTATTGCACATTTTGTATATTCAAGCCTTTGAAGTGTGCTGCAGCCCTATCACCGTAGCCGCGGCCCAAAAGTAAATGTTCAAGATGCCTTTGTATTACGGCCAACATATCCTGTTGGCTGGGATAACCAACGTGCAGCATGTGATTTATGGCCAAATAACGCGGTGCAATTTTCACTAAACTTGCATTAGCTGTCGCAGCTGTTGTCGTTTGCTGTGAAATGGAACCACATATTTGTAAACCACTAACATTTATCCATTCCAAATTGCTATTGCTACTGCCGCCACCACCACCGCCAGCACCAGTGCCATTGGAACTATTGTGACTCTTGTTACTTCTGCCAGTTGCGGACGTATTGCTGCCGCCACTATTCCTTGCAACATTTAGGCCAGCACTCGAGCCGTTATCATTGTAGAAGCCTTGCCGCTGCACTAACTGCAACAATAATTCAACAATTTCACAGCAACCCCAAGCATCCACATAGCATAGATCTAAATTTTTCAAATAGATAACCAAACGTGTCTGTTTCGGTCTATATTCTCGGCCACGCACACCACTAACAGCCAGGCAATTCTAAAATGTAATTTAGAAAATAAATTGATAAAAATGACACACACATGCATAAACACAAAATGAGAACAAACAATATTATGCATTAGTGGTTACCAATGCAGTGCATCAGAATGGAGGAACAGCAGGAAGACAGTACTTAGTTTAAATTAAATACTCCAAACAAATATTGGTTTGGGTTGTGAAATTCGAGTTGGGAGTTGTTGAGGGAGGACATATATTTAAGTTTACAAAATATATATTATGTCGCAATATAAGTATATTAAGGCACTTATCTGTATAGTTGCCATTCTCCTTCGGGTATAATAACGTTCTCTGTGGGAATTTTTAACCTAATTCTGTTGGTCATTCTCAATTTTTGGTATCATAAATTTTAATGTGTGAAGCTGTCTTCAACATGGCCTTACCAACCCCCTCAGCAAAAGAGTAATGTGACATTACTCCTACCCTGCATCAAAGAGTACCAAAGAGTTCTTAATCATATTGCCATGTCGACTATAATAACAGATATTTTTGTCCGAATTTTACCAGATTTCATATCCGTGAAAGTTCGGGAGAAGCAGCTGTGTTGGAATGTACAGATACATTGAGTCTATACCACTAGACGATGAAACAAGTAAAAACGGCGTTAAGTTCAGCTAGGGCGAACTTTTCGTACCCTGCACAATGTGAAAAATTCTCTGAAGTTTGGAAGGTTTAGGGGCGCACAGTTGACTTATAAAAACTGCTTCAGAGAACTACTGATCAATTGTGATCATTCCAAATTGAGAAGAGAAAAGAAAAAGTTTTTAAGCCAGGTAAAGGAGAATACTGGTGCTGGTAGTTTTTTGTTCTCAGAGGGGCTGTGCAAATAATTCTTCTGTAACCTGGCTCTGATTCTAACTCCAAATTCAATACGGAAGTGACCTGTATATATTTTTTCCATAGTGATACAGAAATTAGGTGATCTCAATTATGCCAAATCTATTCGGGTTTGTCGAGTTAGCTCTCATTCTTTAGATGCGATGTTAGGGGAGTGGATCTCTGAGTTCGGTATTAACTTTGTATTCCTCCATGACTTCTCGCCGCCGCCGCATTTGAAAGTCAAGGCCCCTATGTTGTAGTGGCTTGGAAGCATTACCTATATTTTTTTAGGAGGACTTCATCTACCCACAAATAATTTAAAGCACCAAATTACAGCTGATTGGACTAGAAATTGGGGCCCAAACCTTTAAAACCCGAAAATCGAGAGCTACCTTAATTTGGGGACTATACAAAAAACTGACCTATGTTGAATATTTTTTGAAGGCAATTGAACGGCTAAAAACTCGAAATGTTAAATTAAAACTGATTTCGTTTTAATTTAGGGCCAACATCTTTGAAATACCGAAAATCAAAAGGTACCGACTATTTTTTTCGAATAGGTAATTACTGAGAACCCGAAATGTGAAATTACAGTTGATTTGTTGGGAAAATCGGCTCGAAACCTTCAAAATACAGTTCGTACCGCTCTTTTGAGGCTGTACCAAAACGTGGACCATTTTCGATACCAACATCTAATTTCTATATATAAAAGTGCGAGTCAGTTAAATCTACTCAGTCAGAGGTTACTTAAGATTTTGACAATAATTTTAAATGCAGTATTGCTTATATTAGTTGTCATAGCCTAAATGTTTAGGTATTTGTAATTTTGAAAAGTTTTGGACAACCCTTATTAGCTAGTGTTTTGTATGTCAACCTAAGTCCTCCTCCACTCGTTGCACATTAGCTGTGTGTTTTTCTCACCTGTTTTATGCAATGTATTATGTATGCCGGTGTTAACTGTGTCGAACAATTGATGATAACCAAATCATAACCTGACATATCATCAACAGCATGTTCGATTAATAGAGTTTTCGCTGAGCCAGGTGGTCCCACAATTAAAAATGGCAACGCGTCTGGTGCTTGCAAAAATCCCTTCAATTGATCCAAATACATTTTTACTGCTGCCGTTGGTACTAAATCTCCAAAATCACCACCATCCGTCGCCGTATTGCTTTCATAAACATCAACAGAATTTCTAGCCTCATTGTAGTACATCAATTCGGCCTGATTTGGATTGGTAACATACAAATTAGCCTTTTCATAGAACCAATTGGCAAATTCATTATGACGTTCAACTGGTAAAAATTCCCTGGCTGCATGACAGCCAGCAATGGTGAATGCATCACGATTTTGTACGGCCGTATAATCACCAAGTTTTAACAATAAAGCACGTAACATCCAGGAGCGTGTTAGGCAAGGCAATGGCGAACTAAACATTAAAACAATGAAAACAAAGAACTTCATTTTATTGACTGAATATTTGATGGCTGGATGGGTGGATGGTCGAATTGATTGCTTTGCTTATTTGTATGGCTGTGGGTACTTACTGTGCATATTCCTTTTCAAGCCATTCCATGGCGGGCTCATAGAGCTCTTCAATGTAACTTTGTAACAAATCGCCAAACTCATATTTCGACAGTTGATGTTCCAGTATTGATTTTAATGGATAATCCTCATTGCTGTAAATAAACATTTGCAATGGGAGGGCACAGACGAACGGGTGTACGAATGTTGGTAGTAAACAAAAATTAGTGCAAGTTTTTAAGAGAGAATTGCATTTTCCACTTACTTCATGTTAACAATGCCCATACGTGAAATGGTTGCCGGTGAAGCATTGCGAACATCATCCGTTTCAAAAATAAAATTCACATTATTGCCAAATTGTATGCGCCAACCAGATGGTAGTGTTAGCAGTCTGCAATGAGGGGAAGAATGTTGGAAATTAAAAAAAGTAGGGTCGTTTATATTAAGTTTGAGTGTGGAAATAAAAGGGTGCCACTGAAAATGGCATTAAATTTGACTGGGATGAATAGTTGATACTTTCCAAAAAAAAAAAAAAGAAAAACTTGAAATATTTAAATCTGGCTTTAAAAAAAGTATTGTTCTTTTTTAAAATGCCTCCTTTTTACAGAAGGATGTAAAATGTATAAAGGCATTGATGCGGATGAAGACTCCCAATATTCGCCAATAAAAAAAAACTCGTATGGCTTATTAATAACTGCAGCCCAATATTTGACTGGGTTGTACAGTTCATACTTTTCAAAACAAAAATACTTAAAATCTTTAAATCTGACTTTTAAAGCCAGAAGTTACTGTTCTTCTGTTAAAAAAAAAAATACATCCAGTAGCCAAAAAAATCTGACAATCAGCTGTGGTAGTTGAGAACTTCGAAGACTATATTTGCCAATTATTAGGCGGCCCTCAAAGATCTCAGTTCATATACTATAAACTCTAAGACTATGATGGGCTCCTGGGCGGAACAACATACAGGGGAATGAAGCAACTCCCCGAGTCATATGTAGGAGATCCAGAAATCTGGACGAGCCATCCTGAAGTAGAAATATCTCCCTACGCTCGCTAAATAATTTAGAGATAAAACCTGCAGAAGGTCTGATCATCGACCTTTGTATGGTCAGATAACTGACTACAAAATGGGATGACAACAGAATTGATTACTGTGGACTATACGAGAATGAGGATAAATTAGAGACGGCTGTGTTCCCGTGCTCTATAGAATGAAACACCTTATATTTGGCAGATATGTCCGATAATCTGTCCCTCTATTTTTCTGAACAAAGTACAGGTCGTCCGATTTTTATCTTTTATGTATAGATATACTTATAATTCTCAGTTGTTCTTATAATTTTTTCCCTACAATGGACCTAATCGTCTGCGAATGAAGCGGCTACTATCTGTGGTGCATCCTATAATTCACATAAGCTGGCCATAAAAACGTGCAATAATTTCAACTTTTTAAGGGGATCTGCTTTGAAAATCCTACAGAAGACATTTCAAGAGCTTACTTACAATATGCAAGACCTTTAAAATATTTACTATAGAACGAAGGGAATTTTTAATAACGTCTTGAAGTCCTTCATCTAAGAAGAAACTATTTCATAAGAATAGATTTATTATGAAGAAGACTGTCTAAAAAGTCTTTGCATCGGGACATTCTGAGGCTTAAAGAGAGAGAAATGTTGGCATATTTAAATAGAATAGTGTTACTGTCAATAAAAGGCTTATAAAGTGCATTCGGATGAGACCTTTTAGAGATTTTCTAAAAATATAAGGCTTTCCAAACGACTTCTAACGATATATGACCTTTCAGAGGCTTTCTATGAATCTCCAACTGCTTTGAATCAGGGCAAATGTTGGAATTTGACTCGCAATAAAAGTTTCTTTTACCAGACAAGACTCAACGAATTTGATTTCCAATTTCTCTCTTTAAATCTCTAAAATTCCAACATTTATAAATTCCATTTCTTTGCATTCTCTGCCATTACAGCTTACGCCTGAAGAAGAAGCCCGTAACAAAATGATAATGCGCGAAAGAGATCGTGAACGAAAACGTGTCAAACGTATGAATCCCGAGTATCGGCGCATGGAACAGGAACGTGATCGTGATCGCAAAAAGGCACGTCGATCGAATGAGGCATTTCGTCAGTTGGAAAAGTTGCGTGACAAAATACGTAAAGAACGTAAAAAAGGTATTATTGTGGATGAGGCGGCATTGGCGCAACAATTTAATTTGGTACATCCGACACCAGTGGAGCCTGAGGTTATAATATCTGATGCTTTGCCAGCCGACCCCCCGCAGCAGCAGCAACAGAACTCTCAAAATACTAACCAATCACAGCAACAGCAGCAACAACAACAACAGCATCAGCAACAACAGCCACAGCATCATACTCCACAACAGAGACGTCGCATACAACATGCAACGGCCAACAGTGGGAATCCTGGCAATGTTGTGAATATGTGTATAGGTACAACCAGCAGTCCCACAACAACAACCCTAACGAATGTCATAAACAACAATAACAATAATATGATTAATTTAGCAGCGGCGGCAGGTGGTGCCAACATGACAACCTCAAATCCCACTGCCGCCCATATGTCCCAGCTAAACAAGGGTCTCTTGTATCCAGCGCCAAACTTTCCTCATCATCCCTTGCCCATTCCCGGTGTAGCTTTAATGCCTTCATTGTGCCATCCAATATTACATCAAAATCTAAGTGCTTCTCTATATCCACAAAATGGTATTAAACAAGAATATGATAGTTCAGTCTCACCCAACCACCACACAAGTAATGCCCACAACAATAACAACAACAATGGCCAGCAGCCGGGTTCCATAGGAGCAGGCGGCGGTGGCGGCAATAACAACGATGAGCATGAAATGCCCATGATCGAACCAGAAATTATATTACAGACTTCATCGGATGTTATTTCAGCACCGCATCATTTCAACAATCATGCCCATGCCCATCATTTGCATCAACAGAATATGAATATGTTTTCGCACATGAGTCCACAGGCCCATATGGCAGCGGTGCATATGCGTGCCCATGCCTCGGCAGCTGCGGCTTCGGGAAATATACCACCGCCATCGGCTAGTGCATTGGCCGCAGTTGCAGCTGTAGCTGCCCACCATCAGCAGCAGCAACAACAGCAGCAGCAACAACAACAACAGCAACAATCTCAGCAACATCCTGCATCACATGGGAATCCTATGCCACCACAGCAACAACAACACCAGGCACAATAAATCCATTGAGGTTCCAGACAATAGACATATGGTCCACTCACCTCCCTTCCCCAATAAACACACACACACTACTATTAAGAAGAACATACACACCCATCAAGAAGGAAGCCAACATTTACAATTTACATATATTTAAGTAAAAAAAAGTTTTACACGCATCTAAAAAAAAAAAAAAAAATGAAAATTTCCAAGGATCTGTGTGTGCGTATTGTTGAATGCATGTTGTGGAAGTTTTTATTTCTATTATTTTTAAAGAACAATGTATGCCAATAAGTTTTTAGATTTTTAATATGTTTTTTACCATAGAAATGTTCGAAAGAAATAATGATGATGATGATCATAAATTGTAAAAACAAATCATTGATATTTTTTTTGCTATTCACCGTTCTTAATGTTTATTAAGGAAATACATTTAATCTCCTTTCATTACATTTTAGTATTTTGATGCCTATGCAAGCATTTAAAGTGCTGTTATATGTTTTAATTTTTTTTTTTTTTGGAAAATTTCACATTCATATAAATAAAACGAAAACAAAATATTTCAATAATTATTTGAAAGTGTGGTATATTTGAGTATTTGAATCGGCAGGAAAAGGAGTTTGGGAGAAGTTAAGCTCTGCGAAAAGGAAGCAAGTATTTGAATATAAAGATAACATTTCTGTAACAATATTACACAGAAAGTATGTAAGAGTAAGATATTACGATGGGCCAAATATTAGAAATCAACAATCAATGGTTTGCATATTTATCGAGTTCCTGGAGATCTCTCAAAAGGTTCTAATATAATTAATTTAACAGTGTTTGGCTTGCTTGTTTGGGATACCATAGTATTTTGTTGTTGCAAAATCGTCAGGCAAAATCCCATTATTGTTGTTTTTATAAAAACAACGTTTGTTTATTAGTGGAGAACGATGGTAATGTTTACCAGGGGGTAAGGCAGGGAATACCTAGGTTTCGGAAAGAGCCTGACGATTTTGCAACAACAAAATAATTAATTTATCTAAAAATGCTCAAAAACTAATTCCTTGATTTAATTTTTAATGATTTAAATTGTTGCTTCAACAACATTGCCTTGCAATGTTATTAAAACTGACATCCATTCAATGGTCCGGGCCAAGGTTCCCTTCGAAATGGTAAATTTTTAAATATTTTTAAGGCATTCCATCCCATTTTTGTCGGATGGGCTCCCTTCGAAATGGGTTCGAAAGACATTTCTGGACTAAAAAATAATCTTTTTTGAGTGTTGATGAAGTTTTAGGTACTGACATTTCTAGCTTAGGGAAGAATCTCCTGGATTGGAAAAGAGTCTATTTTCAAAGGAGATGAACACAAAGCTGGGATATAGTTCAATCTCTAGGTTTAGGAAATTGGTTATTTCACAGACATTTAGAATTTTTCGAAAACGTCTAGTCGTATGCAATGTGGGCCGGTATAGCAAAGGCTACATGCAGGGTAAGATAAAAAAACTGCAACAAATTCAAACGCGATAATTTTTACATTTTTTTAAATTTTATTGAATGAAAGCCAAAATGTGTGGGAAATAGCATAACATTTTAGATTTTTTCGAATTGGTCACCTTTGGCAAGAATTATGGTCTTCAAACGGCCAATGAAACCGTAACACGCGCCCTGAGATGATCGACACTTCGGTATTTTTTAGTGCCAACCTTGCTTTCCAAAATACTCCAGACAAATTTGGTATTTGAAGTGAAGGTCCACGTTTTGGTATATCCCCCATTTAATGGTACCTACCTATATTCGGTATGTTGATGATCTTAGCGACATTATTCACCGGAATTGTTTCAAATTTGGTATTTGAAGTTCGTAATGGATACTAAGACAGAAAATGTCTGTGCAGGTCCACGTTTTGGTATAGCCCCCATATAATGGTAGCTCTCTATATTCGGTATTTTGATAATTTTAGCTACATTATTCACCGAATTTTTTTCAAGTTTTGGATTTGAATTTTGGCGTTGGCTTATGATAAAATTTACCTATGCAGGTCCACGCCGTTCGATAGACCCTAATATAACGGCTACATTTGTACAGTTGTTGAGATTTTAACAGAATTTTTAAAGGATTTTATTTTTTTGAAAATTGACAAATTCGTTCCAAATGGTGGAGGATGTTATCGGCTGAAATAAAGCTTTTTTACTGGTTTTTTAAATTTGGTATTTAAAACTCGCTATAGATGATAACCACTGTAGCTGGAAATCGGTACGATCGAGTTTACGGAGTTTACACCCGGCAGCTGACTAAAATGGAAGTGGACCCAATATTTAATCCCGATACTTTTATTTTTTAATGGTTTCTGACGGGTTTTACTTGTTTGAATTTTTTCGTGCAAATTCTTCCTTGTCTGATATTATTTTTGCTTTTAAAATTTATTTATAAAATTTACCAATCTCATCTTGACACGCTGCTTTTGTCATGTAATTTAGACCGTTTTTATTTTTTTTTTTACTATAACTGTATCACAGAATTCACAATTTTTTTCAACTGGCAATTGAACACATTACTCAATACATTTTGACGGCAATGGTCTTTTAAAAATGAACACAAAAAGTCTGTGTTTGAAATTGGGGGAGACTAAACTTTACAAGGCACATATTGATTTCAATATAAGAGTCATGTAAAATGCACCCCCCATCAAAAATAAATGGATGACAACTACATACATTTGAGTGTTTTTCATAATACTTTTTTCCTAAGGGTAAGCTCTCTGTCGATTTGTTACAAGTTAACAATGATTTAAACGTTTTTAACAAGTTGTAGGCGCTTTTTTTTACCTACAGGTCATTTATCTTCTCTCCCTATCTATGTAAATTCAGCAACCAGTCAATTTTATTACATTTTTTTTTGGCAATTAATGTCCTACTTTTTATTGTGTGTAATTGTAACAATAACTGTTTTTATTTGTATCTGAGTGTAAAACACATAATGTTTTCGCTGATACTTATTTTTTTGGTGGAAACCTATTTTTTGTAGTTTTATCTCTCCCTCATTACCATGTAAGATTTAAATGAATTCGCAATTAAATTCTATTAAAGAATTTTTTGTATGAAAATTAAAAAAAAACAAGTAAGCAAAGACTACAGTCGAGCGGGGCCGACCGTTGAATACCCTACAACACTATAATAAACGATACAGTTTATATAGCCGAGATACTCGAAAGAATTCCACAAGATATTGTGACAAATAATGAAAGAAAACTATCAGGTAACGTTCTCTAATTTTCGAAATAGCAACTTAAACTAATTTGCTCATTTCCAATTTATTGGTATGTTTTGCACGTAAATGGTCTTCCTAGATCTGGAATCTCTCAGAAGTGGCAAAAGATTAACATTTATTAATGGTTTTTTTTTCCAAAAAGAGTAGACTTCTATTCTGACCCTCATCTTATCCCCATTCAAAATTTCGTAAGGATCGGGCCATAAATGCGATCTGTATATGATATCCTGATATCCTAACTACTTAGTTTTGTTAGCTGTAGAAATATTACCAAATGTTTAATTCAAAATGAAAATATGCCAAAGATATGACAAAATTGAAAAATGATGAGAAAATTTTACAAAATTTATCTTTAGAGAGATATTTTTGTGCGATTTTTTTAGACGTTTTTTCTTTCCTGCCAAGAGGCCATTCTGCATTAATGAGAACTGTCGAAATCAGTTCAGCCGTTCTCGACATATAAGAGATCTTTCAAGCATATCCTCTTTGATAGACATATATATCGCACATATTTTGCTATATATCCGATTTGTTGGATGTTAACATCAATGTAAAGATCAGAAGTAACCTTGTCATGGCTTTGTGATTTCGCCGGGATTTAAAACATTCGCGGTTTAATGAAAATTTTTGAATTTTTTCAACACAAGAAGATATGGTCTATTTTACCCGCTAAATATTATCCGATGACCACCCAAATTTGTAGGCTTCTTCCCTGTCCTAAACTCTACCTACAAGCGACATTTTTTCAGTATTTGTTCCATTTCAACCCCTAAACATTTGGCGATCATCTCCAAAAGAAATAGGCTTCTATTCTGACCCTAACCCCACCTTCGTGCAAAATTTCGTAAGGATTGGACCATATTTGCGACCTGTAGCGTGATTACAAATTAACATGGACAGACGGACGGACGGACATACATAGCTAGAACGACTCAGCTCGGCGAGCTAGGAAGATCCATATATACTTTCCTATGTGGGAAACCAATATTTCGTGGTGTTACATAATTTTTGGTCCAATCAAACTTATAATACCCCCAACACATAGTGTTGTAGGGTATAAAAACACAATATACAGGTGAACACAGTTAACTGCTTTGTTTTTTTTTTTACAGAATGGTTTTAGTAAAAATGTTAATAGTGGAAGATTCTTGCATTCAAAGGAACAAAGTTTAAGTAATTTTAAATTACCGTTTGTAAGAAGAACTTATGTGGATCGAAGAGCTATATACTGTGGTATATAAACGAAGAAGTATAGGGTTAATCTATTTTAAGAGAACTTATGTAGTTCGAAGAGTTATAAACTTTTTGTAGGATAAACCTAATTTAAGAGGATTTATTTGATGCATAAGTAATGGATATGACAAATTTTATACAAATTTCAGTGGGTTCACCTATTTATATTTAAACGTACTGTTTTAATTTAAACCGTATTTGTAATGACCCTACAACAAGGATATGGGTATAACGACTTCCAAAATTTTGTTATTTTGTATTGAGTTCCACTGTATAGCGAAACACATCTGCTAATGGTCTATTTCTTTTTAAATTGATTTAAATAACCAACATCCAACAGATGGACTTTTATATGTGTTTGGTGACAATGAACATTACTTATTGTGTTACTATTTAAGTGAACATGTAAAGGACGAAATATTACAATTATACGAATTTATATGAAAAACAAAATAAATATATTTCTTAAAAATAGACAATTATTTCATTCGATTTGAATTGAGGACCATGACAGAGGCTTTGTGATTCCAAAATATGTACTTTAAAACATATTAATTCCTCTCCATATTTTGAACGAAACCACTGTGAAAAGTGTAAATTTATAGTCAATAAACAACTATATCAGAAATATATTTATGTTTTCCATTTGGAAGGAAACATTTTTGCTCTCAAAAATTTTTTTTCCATGAAAAAAAAAATAATAATAAATAAATGGCAATGTCCTTTAATGCCCTGATTCTGTTTGAATAATATATTTTAAATCATCTTTCTATAGAAAACCAAAAATAAAAAAAATTTTTAAATATCCATGTGACCTGTGAAATATTGTTCGCCTATAGGCCTGCAAAAGACTGTCTTTCTATAGTAGTCCTACAGAATATAGTAGTTCATAGAATACCTTTAAAGTCATCTATCTTTAGAAATCTGCAAATTTTCGAATATGTTTAAATGAATTTTTAAAGATCGATAATATATAAAAATTCAGCTTAAGGTGTTCTGAGATATACATATATCTTGATAGGTAGGTATAGGGATGTACCTTATTTCTATTATGTATACACCTTGCTTTCTATTATATATTTATAATAACAAATGTTCAAAGAGAGGTTTGCTCTTATACGGTTACTTCTTCGAACTACATTTTTTATGTATGAGAAGAACAAGTTTTGATATTGACGTTTTTCAACAATTTCATCTGTAGATAGTTTAAAGTTAAAATACATATTGAAAAACTAACCCCAAAAACTTAATAAGAATAGTCTATGTATGTCGGCTGAATGCGATGGAAACCTTAAAAAATGTCTACAAATGGGGGCCAATTCGGACCTACATAGAAAATTTTTTTGTAGTTTTGGAGTAAGTTTCTCAATATGTATTTCAATTTTTTTGAAGTTTTGGAGAAAGTTTCTCAATATATATATTTCAACTTCCCATTTATAGATAAATTTGTTAAAAAATGTAAGAATACCGGATTTTGTGTATAAAAGATGTCAAAGCGTGGCATGGGCATGGCACAACCATATAGATTGATTAATTCTAAAGTAGTGGCTAACAAGACCAGGGAGTGGATTCTTGTTCTATGAAAATATGAAATGAAAATAATTTCCTTTATACAATTTTTCATTTGACATTTCCTTCCTTTATAAACTTTCCCATTTCACATTTTCACAGAACAAGAATTGAGGCCCAGAACTTTTAATGCCCAATACGATTTGGAAAGTTAAACTTTTAAAAATATGTCTATAAGTGGTGAAATCTAGTATTCGATTCTGCTATTAAGAATTTTAATATCAACTTTAAGAAAAAGAAGGAACATGGACTGTATACATAACTTGACAACATAGGATGTGCTACCTAACTTTTAAACCATTCCATTAAACAAAATTTGCTAAAAAACATCAAAATTCCAAATATAGGAAGAGACCGTTATATGGGTGCTATACGAAGACTTGGACCTGTATAGACAAATTTCTGTTATAGAGGGAGCCCGGTCCACTGAATAGCTTTGTACTTTTTGTTTGAAAAATTCAATTTTTTACCAGTTGGGCCACCCGAAAAGGGTTTGAAAGGTATTCCTACGTTCACCCTAATGGGAACAATATCTAAACTTGAGCCTATAAATACAGTTCTTTGTTAGGATGTTTTCTACATATTGTGGTCAAAACAATTGCACAGGGAGTTTTGTTTGAAAAATAGGATTAGAACACCAATACACTTTAATTGTGGCCATTATTCAGTGGTTATATCGAAATGTGTGATGTGTGAAATGTGACATATTTTCAATTTCAAAATTTCTGCGCACCTAAAATCAGGCCCCGAAAAGCTAGCTCGAACTTGTTTAAAGAGTGAAACTCACTCGAATTCGAGCGAGTGTGCTCCTGGGAGCAGAAAATATAGAGCTAACTCAATTTTTCAAAGTCGCTCGAATACGAGTGAGCATATTTTCTTCGTTTTTGAGTGGGAGAAAAATTCGTTCAAAATCGAGAAGATTCTACTCTTGTCTAGCAATCTTCTAGTTTTTGTCATACCGTTGTTGTATTTCTTTGTATGTGTATTTTTCTGTACAAGATCACACTCCCTTTATCTGCACTTCTCCTCCCCGTCATCCCGCTCTCCCACCATCATTCCCCCTCTACCCCATCTTCTCACCTCTTCTACAGAACACAACAACATCAAAACCCGTTTGATGTTACACAGGAATGAAGCAATGATAAAGCATAGATAAAATATTGACCTCAAGGAGGATTTGTGCCTATAGAAATACTGTTAAGGGTCTTATATATATTGAAAAGCTGTTATAATTTAAAAGAGCTATTTAAACATAAAGGAACCTTAAAATATGTATAGAAGAGCTGTTAAGGGTCTTTTTCTATGGAGGAGCTGTTTAAGATCTTTTTAAATGTTTTTATACCCTACAACACTATGTGTTGGGGGTATTATAAGTTTGATTGGGCCAGAATTTATGTAACACCTCGAAATATTGGTTTCCCATATAGGAAAGTATATATGGATCTTCCTAGCTCGCCGAGCTGAGTCGATCTAGCTATGTATGTCCGTCCGTCCGTCTGTCCATGTTAATTTGTAATCACTCTACAGGTCGCAATTATGGCCCGATCTTTACGAAATTTAAAATGTAGGTGGGGTTAATGTCAGAATAGAACCCTATTTCTTTTGGAGATGATCGCCAAGGGGGTTGAAATGGACCAAATACTGAAAAAATGCCGGATTTTGCAGCAGCTATACAGGTCGCAATTATAGACCAATCGAATTTCGCGGAATTTCGCATGTAGCTAGAGTTTAGGGCGGGGAAGAAGCCTACCAATTTGGGTGGTCATCGGATAATATTTAGCGGCTAAAATAGATCATATCTTTTTTGTTGAAAAAATTCAACATTTTTCATTAAACCGTGAATATTTTAAATCCCGGCGAAATCACAAAGCCATGACAAGGTTACTTCTGATCTTTACATTGATGTTAAGATCCAACAAATCGAATATATAGCAAAATATGTGCGATATATATCTATCAAAGAAGATATGCTTGAAAGATCTATTTTATGTCGAGAACGGCTGAACTGATTTCGACAGTTCTCATTAATTCAGAATGGCCTCTTGGCAGAAAAGAAAAAACGCCTAAAAAATCACATAAAAATATCTCTCTAAAGGTGAAAATATTGATTTTGTAAATTTTCTCATATTTTTTCAATTTTGTCATATTTTTGGCAAATTTTCATTTTGAATTAAACATTTGGTAATATTTCTACAGCTAACAAAACTAAGTAGTTAGGATATCAGGATATCATATACAGATCGCATTTATGGCCCGACCCTTACGAAATTTTGCATGAAGATAAGATGAGGATCAGAATAGATGCCTACCCTTTTTGGAGATGATCGCCATATATTTAGGGGTTGAAATGGACCAAAAAACTCCAAAATTATCAGCAGGTCGTAATTATCGCCCGATCCTCACGCACATTTGAATGGAGGTTACCGGACATTGCAAAAGCCAAGCAGTTTTGGATGGCCATCCAAAAATATTCAATGTGTAAAGGAGTTTGCCAACTTTTGTAGACAAAATACGAAAATGTCCATTCCAGTGACTTTTTGGAGAATTCACAAATACAGGAAAGACGCGCTTCTGACTATTTCGTTAACGCTGATTTCGTTGAAGAATATAGTCAAATAGCTGTATCTCATATAGATGTGTTTCAGTCAAAAACCAATAATAAATGTTAATCTTTTGCCACTTCTGAGAGATTATGGGTCTTTGGGAAATATTGGTTCCATATCTAGGAAGACCATTTACGTGCAACATCTACCAATAAATTGGAAATGAGCAAATTAGTTTAAGTTGCTATTATTCGAAAATTAGAGAACGAAACCTGATGGTTTTCTTTTATTATTTGTCACAATATCTTGTGGAATTCTTTCGAGTATCTCGCCCATATAAACTGTATCGTTTATTGTAGTGTTGTAGGATATTCAACGGTCGGCCCCGCTCGACTGTAGCCTTTGCTTACTTGTTTGGTTTTATATTTGAAGTTCTGTTTCTTAAATTTTAAATATAATGGCCTAAAAAGAAATTTCATCTTTTACTTTAGTTATGTCTTTTCTAAAAAAAACCTAGAAAATCTTCTTTCAACATTACGCTTTAATATTGAACACTAGATTGAAAATGCATTTTCTTGTTAACATTAGGATTTTCATTTCACACAAATGGAACATTTCAATTTTCCTTTCGCTTGCAGTTTGCCAACGAACAAAATGATAAATGTTGGGCCAACGAGACAACGACACACACACACACAACTGCACTTGCATCTAACTCCCGACGTGATGTTCCCGTTTAACCCCTGTTTTAGGATGAACTTTCGTTTTGTTTTCTGGTACACAAGAACCACAACAACACAGCTAACCACAATGAATCCTGTTAGAAAAGCTTACAGACTCTAATTTTCTCATAGACATGCACTACACTGGGAGCGAGGATGTTACCATCACGACACACTTCCTTCTATTCTTCCGCAAATACAACAACAACTACTACTACAGCAATACTCACTTGTTGTCATCCAATACGGAATTGAGTGCCTCAATCCATTCCGGATCAATGCTGCCATCGCAAACAATCCACGAGCGTATGTGTGGCGGTTCGGCGTTTACAACAACGGCGGTGTGTGTCAAAACACCATCGAGCCATTGACGGGTGTCAGGATCAAGACGACCCAACAACTGAACGCGACTCATCGATTTGGGGCTAATGGTATGGATGCGTATTTGTTGTTGCTGCTGTTGGAGGGATGCTGGCGCTGACTTTGATGTTTGTGTAATTAAAGCCTGGCGTAATACACTTATAACGGTGGATTTGCCACAACCGGGTGGTCCCATCACCACAACACCCATGCGCTTCTGTAGCTGTTCATAAAGCTGTAGACATTTAATCATTTGCATTTCATTAAAGCACAGACCCAGTGCCGCGAATGCCTCCCTAATCGCATGTTGGAGCGGCGAAAGGGCGGACGACGATGACTCATACGCGCCTGGGACATTGCTAATCTCGGGAAATACATTGTGCAGCAGCATCTCGAAGCGTGAAACATCGTGCAGGGCCAATTTGGACATGGTCGAGGTGCGTAAACATTGCACGACCACCAACATTTCCATGTCGTCGCCATCACTCCCTTGGCTGGCGGCCGAGTTCATTGTTATGCTCCTTAAACCCTCGCCACAGGCTAATAAAATTGTTTTCAATTCCCTTAAGCCCCAATCATAGTGACGCTGTTGCGTCAATATCTTGGCACACATATCGAAGAGTTCCACAACGCGTTGGGCGATTTCGGTTGGCTGTTTAAATCCTTCGACAAATAGCATTACACGTGCAATTTCTCCCGGTTCCGGCTGTTGCATGACAATTGGACGAAACAATGCCTGTATATTACCGGGTAATTTCTGGCGACCACCATAGTCAGCGCCGGCCGGATTAAGTGTTACAAATATACCGCAATGTTGATTGAGTTTTATCTGTGAGGCGTGTGGGAGAGGGTGGCATGGAAAGATAAGAGAAAAGACAAATAAGCAAGTAACAAAATCATTGCAATGGCATTAACGAATAAAAATCAATGATTATTCAGAGCTTCAAATTACAATCGATGTCGGTGTATGAGACAATTAATATATTTTTCTAGTAAGTGCTCGGTACTTCAGCGTCAGCGAAAGGTCCACCTCAAATTTTTAGATTTGTTTTGAACCGTTCGTGCTAGGTTTCACAACGCGTTTAGAACACCTTGAAATACAAATTTTAGACCCACAAATTATATATATTCTTGATCAGCATAAAATTCTATGTCGATTTAGCTATGTCCGTCCGTCTGTTTGCACGTGTGGAAATCCCACTAGCTTCACAATAAAATGAAGTAGGTTGATAAAATTTTACATAGATGTGTGTTAGGCCTGCAGAGCTTTTGGTACAGAAGATGGGCTCTATATGTCCAAGTTTTGGTATAGCCCTCATATAAGTGTACGGAAAGATTTAAGGTATTTTAGTCACAATTTTAATTCGAATTTGCTGTAAATTAGGCGAATATATTGTCATTATGAAAGAAACATTCATTGAACTATCAATATACAGGGTGAGATGAAAAAACTGCAACCAACTTCAGACTGCTGACATTTCTAAGTCACTCGTCCGACAGCTGCAAAATTATTCCAATGACAGTTCATTATATAGTTTACAAGCGTACAAAAGCATTTTGGTGAAAATTTTCCAGAAAAAAATTATTCGTGATGGAATTCAAGTGTGGCAGTGTGATTTCTTTATATTTGGCTGGAAAACCACAAGTGGCTATCGTTAGAGCACTCCAGTATTTAAATGTGAATAAATCTTTTGTGTCTCGTACTATCGCTCGTTACCGTTTTACTGGTAGCGCAGCCCGACGTCAAGGAAATGGACGCAAGAAAACAGCAAAATCAACAGAAATGGTTTGAAAAGTAAAGAAGCGACACGATCGAAACCCGCGTCGCAGTGGCCGAAAAATGGCTCGTGAGCTGAACATATCGCAATATTCCATTCGAAAAATATTGAAAAATGAGCTCGGGGTAAAGCCATTGAAATTCCAAAAAGTGCAAGAACTTACACCGCGACGGAAAGAAAATAGACTCAAAAGAGAGACTCAAAAGAGCTAATTTTCGAATTTGGTTTTCTCCGATGAGAAAACATTCGTTGTTCAGCAGTATGTAAAAAAACAAAATGATCGTGTTTACTTGTCAAAGAGGTCAGCTGAAAATGTGCACCTTCGGTTGGCCACCAGAACTCAAACGCCGGCCATGGTGATGGTGTGGGCCGCCATAACAGCCGATGGTCACTCTCCATTCGTATTAATCGACCGTGGCATCAGAATAAATTCCGACAATTATCGCGAAATTATTCTGCAGGGTGTATTAAAGCCTTGGGCACGCAAACATGTTGGCCGCAGATCTTGGACACTTCAAATGGGGTTCAGCACCATCGCACTCAGCACGCGCCACCCAAGAGTGGTTACAAAATGAGGTTCCTCGCTTCATTTCCAGCGCACAAAGACCACCAAAATCTCCGGATACCAATCCGTTGGACTACTGTCTCTGGAGTATTTTGGAAAGCAATGTTGGCATTAAAAAATACCAAAATGTCGATCACCTCAAGCAAGCGCTTCGCCGGGAATGGGCCAAAATACCGCAGAGCAATATTGGGGCATCGTGTGACGGCTTCATTACCCGTTTAAAGGCAATAATTCATGCCAAAGGTGATCAATTCGAACAAATCTAAATTTATTCTAAAATTTGATGCTATTTCCGACAGTTTTTGCTTTCATTTAATAAAATTTAAAAAAATGTAAAAATTATGGCATTTGACTTTGTTGCAGTTTTTTATCTCACCCTGTATATACCTCTAAAATGGTACTAAACTTTTAAAATGGTTCCATGGTGAACGGACAAACAAACTAAAAACATGAAATTCAGTATGAGAATCACTGTGGGAAAACTACTTTTCGCAACCTTAAAGTTTAAGACCTCGAAAAACCCTTTTGTACATCTATCCTGCACTTCATCAGTGACTCACATTCCATATTTTAGAATTTTAACTCATACCGTTTGTCCAATACAAAGTATTCAATTTTTAGTACTTTATGGATTTCCAAAAACCCAACCATGTCACGTACCTTTGAACCAAGATTGACTTATGTGTGAAGATGCAAAATGCTGACCATTCCTTCTGGTACTTCCCTCACAACGGGTCAACATTTTGAATAATTTATCTCTTATAAAATGCGAAATAAGCATTAGATTCTCTTCAAATTTCATACATCCGAACACTTTTGATAACAGAAGTTCTGAAGTGAAGATGGTAGATATCTGATAACTTTCCCACAAAGGGTAAATTTCAAAAAAAAAAGTATCTCTAATAACTTGCGAAACTAGTCAGCGATTCTAGTCAAACTTGGTATATTTAGATATTTCTCTCAACTAGAGATCTGACGTGAATATGGAATCTACCCGCTCACTCCTCTTCATACCTCCTCCACAGAAGATGTCGAAGCATTTGTATCTTTTAAATTCGGACTTGTATTCCTCATTTGGTGCACAATTAATTTGAAATCGGATAAAGATATATATGGGAGTTATATCCAAATCGGAACCGATCTCGATAAACTTTGGCAAAGATATTTCTGAGCTATATTTGATATATTTCCCTGAATATCGTTGTTACGGAGTGAACATTACGGCTGTGGGTAACAAATATAACAAATTGTATGAACAGTATATATGGGAGCTATATCTGAACCGATCTTCGCCAAATTTGACATACTTGTTTCCACACTCAGTTCGGTCATAAGTGCCAAATTCCATCACATTTGAACAAATATTAGACGTTTGGTGCACAATAAAAGGTAAATCGGACGAAGTTATATATGGGAGCTATATCCAAATCTGAACTGATCTCGATAAAATTTAGTAAATGTATTTCTGAGCTGTATTTGATATATTTCCACAAATATTGTTGTTACAGAGTGCATATTACGGCTGCGGAGGACAAAAATAACAAATCGGATGAACAATATATATTGAAGCTATAGCTATCTGAACCGATTTCGATCAAATTTGGCATATTTATTTTCAGGCCTAATTTGGTTGTATGTGCAAAATTCCATGCTATTCGGGTTGATATTACACGTTTGGTGCACAATAAAAGGCAAATCGGACGAAGATATATATGGGACCTATATCTAAATTTTGACCGATTATCTCCAATTTCAATAGGGTCCTTGGACCAAACAAATGATTTGTGCAAAATTTCATCTGGATAGAGCAATAAATGCGAACTGTACTTTGTTTACAAAAATACATGGACAGACGGACGGACATGCATAAATTGACGCAGAATGTGATTCTATGCAGATCATCAAAGGGAACTATGGGTCTATCTCGTTTCTTTTTGCCTGTTACAAACAAATGCACAAAGACATAATACCCTGACCACCTTGTCGTGTAGGGAATAAAAATTCGGATTAAAAATGAAATAATTTGAATTTAAAATAGAATAAGTCGAATTACAAATGAAATTTTCGAATAACAATTTAAATGTATTGAATTACAAATGGAATACTCGAAATACAATTGAATTATTACGAATTATAAATGAAATTCTTGAATTACAAATGGTCCAATTACTTCTGCTAAAAGTGTAGTCAAAAGGGTTTCAGATCAACAGAGTATCCTTTGTTTACTAGCATATTTATATATATTCTCCTCATTGAAATGTACAAGGAATGACTCATATGGTATACATTAACCCCATCAATCGATGAATGCATTTCTCATGGCTTGCATTGTATGCCAAGTGAATGCAAACAAAGCCAGTCAAAGATAACAACAACAACAACAATGTCAGGTCAGAAATTAAAAACGTTTATCCTTTATTTTATCAGATAAACAATCACTCTTTTGTTCATCAATAATTCAATCAATGAATGAGCGAACGAATGAATGGATGGATTTACCCTGAATGCAATTTGCCAATAATATTTGTAAATGTTTTCTGACTTTTATGACCGTTGGGTGTTGAAAATTTACAATGCAATTACGCATACACAGCCGCATACACAGCCATACATAAATGGGCATTTGAAGATTTGCATTGCACATTTTAACGCTCGTTTGGAAACCATAAAATGATCCATGCAATTAATGAACTCTTGCCACGCATAAACAAATACATGACAAATTTGTAGGATAAATCTTAACAATTAAATTGTTTAAATTGTAATTTGGTACTTAGGCTTCTCTGAGACCAGTAAAATTTTTACTTTTTGGTGCGTAAATGCAGCTGCATATGAATTAATTAATTTTGATTTCTTAAAAAGAATTTTGGTGTAATTCTTAGAAACATTCTTCCAAATCTTACTACAGTTCCTAACTTGTCACATTAAGTCCTCACAAATTACTCTTTACAAAATCTTCAATTTCCAATTCATTTATCATCTCTGTTTCAGTTTTCCAAACGAAACTGATATCCAGGTTCCAGAAAATCGGAGCACAAAAACTTGCCGATTATGATTTACGTAAACATTTACATTCCTAGGACCAAGTCCTCAAAAAAAAAAAAAACATTGTTGCGCTTATGCACCATGTCATTCCTACACTACACACACACACATACTCGTATACCAAGATAAAAACAACACCATACATACACACAATCATACTTACATTCTTTCCGGCTATCTGCACAACATCCAGTTTATCCTTTAATGAACATTGTATCGGCTGTATTAGCATTGATATGGCCGAGAGTGTTGCCTCCTGCAAACGATTGAATTCATCAAAACAGCCCCAGGCACCGCATCGAGCTAAACCGGTTAAAATCAAAGCCATTGATTCGGTATCGACGTTCTGTTTGGGAAGGCGTTGTTTTTTGCCATCGTTGCATTGCATTCGAGGAGGAGGTGAAAGAGGATGAGACAAAGGAAACAGGGTAAATTAACAATAGTCAACATGGCAAGAGCCAATGGATAAATGAAAGCAATTTCAAATTTTGTGAAATGTTCCTCCATGCAAATTGTTGCAATGTCAACAATTTTTGAGGTGGGCGAATAGGGGGAAAAAACAATGAACAACAGGAAAGTAGAAGGAGGAGGAGAAGTACAAGTGGTAGAGATATTTGAGTTGTTGACGACGATAAGGCTTAAGAAATGCTTGAGGGATTTAAGTTAGGTTGCCATCTTTTTGTCATTTTTCAATCCTTGGAGACCCTAGAGGAGCATTAAAATACCTTTCATTGAAGATGTCTTTTATTCATAAAGACCTAGTTCTTCTGTCCACAAAATAGCTTCAGAAAGTCTCATGTCTACAGAAGATTTATGACAGGTCTTCTGTGCACAAAAGACCTATAGAAGACTTTGTGTCTACAAAAGACCTACAGAAGACCTTCTGCCTGCAAAGAACCTACAGAGTGTTTTTAGTTTACAAGAGACCCATTGATGGTCTTTTCTCCGCCTGAGGAATGTTTTCTATCCACAAAACACCTATAGAAGGCCTTTTGTTCACAAAAGATCAAGAGAAGGTCTTCTGTCTACAAAAGACGTATAGAAGGTATTTTGTCTACAGAAGGCCTGGTCTTCTATGGGCAATAGAATATCTCCTCATCTGAGTGCAATAGAAGACTACCTGATCTTCTATGGGCAATAGAAGACAACCCAATCTTCTATGGGCAATAGAAGACAACCCGATCTTCTATTGGCAATTGAAGACAACCCGATCTTTTATGGGCAATTGAAGACCACCTGGTCTTCATTGGCAATTAAAGACCAAATGGTCCTCTATGGAAAATTCCAAACCTCCTGGTTTCATATGACAATCGAAGACTTTCTGGTCCTCTATAGCCCATAGAAGATCAGGTTGTCTTCTATTGCCCTTGGAAGATCAGGAAGACTTCTGTTTTCCATAGGAGATCAAATGCTCTTCTATTGTCCATAGAAGATCAGATGATCTCCTATTGTCCATAGAAGTCCGGGTGGTCTTCTATAGCCCAAAGAAGATCAGTTGTTCTTCAATTACAAGGAGGTCCTCTATTGTCTATAGGAGACTATTATTGCCCTTGGAAGACCAGGAAGTCTTCTATTGCTCATCCGGTCTTCTATGGTCAACAGGAGATCTTCTATGGGGTATAGAAGACCACCTGGTCTTCCAAGGGCAATAGAAGACAACCCAGGTGGTCTTCTATGGACAGATCATCTGATCTTCTATAGACGATAGAAGATCACCCGATTTCATATGGGCAATAGAAGACTTCCTGGTCTTCCAAGGGCAATACTAGTCACTTATGAATAATAGAGGACCTCTTGGTCTCACACTCTTGGTCTTCCATGGCAGAAAAAGATTTTCCGTTCCTTTATGGGCAATAGAAGACCTTCAGATGTTCTATGTACAATAGAAAAGAACCTTGTCTTCTAAGGGAAGGAGTTCCTGGTCTTCAATTGCAATTAAAGACCTCCTCGGTGGACAAAAGAAGACCTTTTCGTCTTCTATAGGTAAATGACGTCCTCGTGGCTTTCTATGTTCAACAGAAGTCCTCTAGACGCCCTATAAACGATTGAAGACCTTTAGGTCTTCTATTGACGATAGAAGACCTGAAAGACTTCAAGGTCTTCTAAAAACAAATGAAGATTTTTGGTCTTCCCTCTTGGTCTCCTATGGGCAACAGACATCCTCCTGGTTTTCTATCTTCAACAGAAGTCCTCTACACGCTCTGTGGGCGATAGATGACCTCCAGGTCTTCTATAGACAACAAAAGACCTCTTGGGCTTTTATGGACAATAGTAAATCACCAGGTATTCTAAGGGTAACTGAAGACCTTCTCGTCTTCTGAAAGACATCCTGGCCTACTAAGGATAATTATAGACCTCCAGGCCTTCTAAAGACAATTGAAGACTTTTTGGTCTTAAAACCTCTTGTTGTTTCATCGAAAAATACGTGTCAGAATAGTTCTATCGAAGTTCTTCCAGACGAAGAAGATTTTCTAAGACCAAGGAGGCCTATAAATTGTTCCCTATGTATAGAAGACCTGAAAGGCTTATGGAAAATTTCTTAGCTAGACATATGTAAAATCCTCTGTCCATAGAGGACCTGTCTAATTATTAAATACCAAATCTCCTAAACATAATTAATTTTTTTTCAACATTTCCCATTACCCAACTTTCGTCAACTCAACTATATCTCGCTCACCACAACTTCCCACTGATTATTACTTCAATCTGTTTATCATTCATACAAACATGCATACATATGTATGCATGCATTTGCATGTACTTACCTCATCACAGTTAAAGACAAGCACCAATCTACCCAACATGGCGCCCAATGCTTTGACACACTCCGTTTTACCGGTACCAGCCGGCCCAAAGGGATTACCACCCAAGCCCATATGCATGGCTTGTGTTAGGATGAGATAACATTTGTGTGTTAAACGTGTACTGACCAACTTATTGGGATTACCCAAAAATTCATATGAATACTCGAATTCTGCATAAACCATACGGATAATAACCGTTGCATTACTGCTGGCGATGTTGCTGCCACCTCTGGAGGCAAGCAAATCAGGTGCTGATTTACCACCGCGACCACTGCTACCGTTTGCAAGGTGGCCACTGCCATCACTTAAATAAAATTTAAGCTGTGCCAACCAATGCCAATCGTTCAAATGCATTGTGTTGTTGTCTATCAGCTCCTCGACAATTGTCACATAATGGACCAAATCAAAGAGTAGCGAACGTAATTTTATTTGCAACAGCGTGTCAGACGTCTGATGTTTCCACAACGAATATTTGGCAATTTCCGCGTTGAGTGTTTGCTGGAGTTTTTGCAGAGCCATTGTTTGAATAGCCTTTTCGCACTGGCGGGTAAAGTGAATGGCACGCGTGGTGGACAGAACTTGAGCAACATAATTTTTCAGGATGTTCTCATTAAAACCGTCCGCAGGATATGTACTGCAGCACTGGACTATTTGTTCGCGCAGAGTGAGTTGTATGGTGTTCACCAGTGAATTTAACCAGTTCTAATGAATTTTGAATGAAAAAATGTGAATTGTTTATTTAGTTTTGGAGAATTCATTTTGAATTTTAAAAACAAAGTTTGAAACTTACTTCAATGGGTCCTTTCATTTCAATGGGTGTTCGTAGTTTTAAAACATCACCTTCGGCACTTTTCAACGATTCAATGGTGTAGAGTATGCGTTGATCGTCCAAGCTATTTCCTTGCACTATGCCCAGTTGATGACAGCCGGGGAATAGTTTTTTAATATGTTTTTGTATTACTTCCGGGTCCTTGGAGGCTTGACCCAATATTTCCAGTAGATCGTCATCGCCCAAAAAATAGAAACGGGGAAAAGAGTTGCGTTTTTCCTGGAAGAAAAATATCATTAATGGAACTTTTGATGTGTTTGTTGAGGACCACAGATTGATAGAGATTTGCTGCTAGATTGAAACCGAAAGGTTGAAGTTTGCTTGTAAATAACCTTTCTGAGGCATATATATATATTTAGAAGATCATCCTAAGTTTTCTGAAGTATCTCTATAAACAAAGGATATGGGTTAAAATTCTTCCTTAAAATAGTTTTAGGAGGACTTCTGTAGAAGAGAAAAAGACCTTATAGAAATTTCTTCTATTAGGCAAATTTTTAGAAATTCTGACGGGAAGATGTTCTATTTATGAAACAAGAGACTTTTGAGGTTTCATACATATACAAGCCTTTTTGGAAAAATTTCAGGTATTGCATAAAAATATAGGACCATTTGTAAGATTGTTCTTTATATTTTCGTTCGGCTCGAAGTCTTTACAATAAAAAAAACATATTTTTATCACAAGGTCATGAACCCTACATTCTTTTAGAGAAATTGTATATTTTTACTTACCATTATGTAGGACATCAAATTATTTTGACAACGGGTCAATTGAGTCTCCAACGACTTTACAATTGTTGTAATATTATTGATCTTTATCAGAGACACGACACGTGGATCCATTTGTATTTCACGCATAATATAACGAAAATCTTTATCGATACGCTTGAAAAGGGCCTCTTCGTTCTTTAAAGTACCAGCCTCGAAAACGGGTTCTAAATATACCCATCTGGAAATGAAATAAGGAATTAGGTTAATATCATATAGAAATGAAGGACGATAAGTCCTTAAGTCCTTAACGAATATTCTTAATGAAAATATAAAAATATTTTTAAATGTCCATGATTATAGCTCTGCAAGGGCTTAAAATAATGTTCTCAAAAACCTGTGATTGGAGGTCTTCTTATTCTTTAATTCTAAAATCCACGTGTAAAGGTCTGATATATATTGAAAAAGTATTCGTAACAAATATACATTTGGAGTTCTTCTTATTCTTGAAAAATACACATTTTTAGAGGTCTATTGATTTTTCGAGGCATTGAAAAAATATTAAAAATCTTAAAAAAAACAATTCTTTTAAAAATCCACGTTTTTGGCTCTCTTGGGCATTGAAAAATTATTAAAAATCTTAAAAAAACAATTCTTTTAAAAATCCACGTTTTGAGGTCTCTTTATGCTTGAAAAAATATTCTTCTATTGGCCCCTAAAAAATTCTTTTTAAAATCCACGTTTGGAGGTCTCTCTATGCTTGAAAAAATATTCTTCTATTGGCCCCTAAAAAAATTATTTTAAAAATCCACGTTTGGAGGTCTATTTATGCTTGAAAAAATATTCTTCTATTGGCCCCTAAAAAAATCTTTTAAAAATCCACGTTTGTAGGTTTCTTTATGCTTGAAAAAATATTCTTCTATTGGCCCCTGAAAAAATTCTTTTAAAAATCCACGTTTGGAGGTCTCTTTATGCTCGAAAAAATATTCTTCTATTGGCCCCTAAAAAATTCTTTTAAAAATCCACGTTTGGAGGTCTCTTTATGCTTGAAAAAATATTCTTCTATTGGCCCCTAAAAAATTCTTTTAAAAATCCACGTTTGGAGGTCTCTTTTTGCTTGAAAAAATATTCTTATATTGGCCCCTAAAAAATTCTTTTAAAAATCCACGTTTGGAGGTCTCTGTATGCTTGAAAAAATATTCTCTTATTGGTCTCTAAAAAAATTCTTTCAAAAATCCACGTTTGGAGGTCTCTTAATGCTTGAAAAAATATTCTCTTATTGGCCCCTAAAAAATTCTTTTAAAAATCCACGTTTGGAGGTCTCTTTATGCTTGAAAAAATATTCTTCTATTGACCCGTAAAAAAAATTATATTAAAAATCCACGTTTGGAGGTCTTCTTATGCTAAAAAATCCACATTTTTAAAAGGCTTTTGATCCATAAAAAAAATCTTTTAAAAATCCACGTTTGGAGGTCTTCTTATGCTAAAAAATCCACATTTTTAGGAGGCTTATGATCCCTAAAACAATATTTTAAAAATCCACGTTTGGAGGTCTTCTTATCTTTGAAAAAATATTGTTAAAAATCCACATTCCTAGGAGGCTACTGATCCCTAAAAAAATCTTTTAAAAATCCACGTTTGGAGGTCTTCTTATCTTTGAAAAAATATTGTTAAAAATCCACATTCCTAGGAGGCTACTGATCCCTAAAAAAATCTTTTAAAAATCCACGTTTGGAGGTCTTCTTATCCTTGAAAAAATATTCCTAAAAAACCCAAAATTTTAGGGGGTTATTGGCCCCTAAAAAATATTTTTAAAAATCCAAGGTTATGCCCCTATTAACCATTGAAAAAATATTCTTAAAAAATCTGCATTTTAAAGGGGGCTATTGATCCCCAAAAAATTTTGTTTAACATCCACAATTATGGCTTTTATTATTAAAAAATCCACATTTTTAAGGGACCATTGCTTTCTAAAAATATTCTTTTAAAATCCACGTTTTTACCTCCATTGGAATTTGAAAAAATATTCTTAATAAATCGACACTTTAAAGGCTATTGATCTCTAAAAATATTCTTTTAAAATCCACGTTTAGATTTATTGAATTTTTAAAGGACCAAACAAAATCCATGTCTACTAGCCCTTGGAAAAAATATTTTTAAAAGATCCACTTTTATCATACGCCTCTTCTATTCCTTTTAATATATTTTTAAAACGCCACATTTAAAGCTCGGTTAGTCTTTGAAAAACACATTATTACATTGTCTGTTCTTGAAAAATGTTCTTAAAAAGCCAAGTATGAAAGTCTATTAGTCCTTAAAAATATACTTTAAAAATCCACCCGTATAGCCCTGGTGGTCCTTAAAAAGTAATTTTAAAATGTACGTTGGGAAGTTATATAGTCCTTAAAATATTTAAAAATAATACACGTTTGGAGGTCGGATAGTTCTTGAAAAACTGTTTTGAAGAAATTAATTTTGGAGATCTACAAAAATGCTCATTTAGAGGACTACTAGTCCACGAATAAATATTCTTCGAGAGTCTAAACTCTGGAAAAATATTAGTTTTTAGTTCTGCTAATCCTTAAAAAAAATATTTATTAACAAGTTTGGAGATCTGATATTCATTCACATTTTGGCTCTTCTAAAAAAAAAAACAAATTTTTAGCACGGCTAGTGCTTGAGATATATTCTTAAAAAAATCTATGTGCGTAAAAGGTTTGTCCTTCAAAAAATAATCTTAAACCATTTTGGAAGTCTTCCAAAGGGTCACCCTAATAACTCACCTCCTTTGTGATTGATTCAAACTCGTTAAAATTGTATCCAAGGTATTTAAACGGCTCTCCCATAGCTCAGCTTGATCTGAAAAAGCTTCAAAGGCGGCGGAATTTTTAGCTGACTGCAGCAGGGATTGATTATCACCAATTTTGTTGAGAACTTCTTGATAATCCTTAATCAGTGATATTGGCTGTCCCGAAGAATCATTTTGATTTATCAACTTCAATTGTGCAGTTACGGACCATTGATCGATTTCTGTGAGGGCTTGGCGTACAACCTGTTCCGATGAGGCCTGTCTTACTATTTGACTTATTTCTTGGGAATTTTGTTGCAATAACGTTTGATTTTCCAGCAGATTCTTCAACGTAAAGGTGTGTAAATTTTTAATGTCATCTCTTTTGAGCAGGGAAAATATACGAGCCCAATGTCTTTCGGTAAGGGAATCGGATTGTAATTGCTGGAGAAGAGGCAAAAGGGACTGCAACTTCTCCACACTGCCACGTATTCTCTTCGAGGGTAAATCAATGGAGGCATGTACGGAACCTTCCCACTTTGAGATGAATTCATTGAGTATATATGGCCTTCTGCGATATATGGCCCACTCTTCGTCCATTATTGAATTCAACTCCGTCAAATATTCATCATAGACAATCCATTCCTTTGATTGTTCATTCATTTTTGCATCGATTTCATCGAAGGGTTTGAGGAAATCTTCCGGAAAAATCATATTAAATTTTCCACATTCCTCCAAGAGTTGATCTTTTTTCTTTAAAATCTCATGCCAGTGGTCCTGGCGTTCTTTGAATATCTCCAAAGTGGCATCTTCATTGGCCTGTAACTCGGCCAATGTAGATTCCCAACGAAGGACAAATTTCTCAGCCTCATTGCGTAGATTTTGTATTTGGGTCTGGGCTTGCTCCTTTATCATGTCAACCTGTCGTTGTAATATCACGGCATGATTTTCCAGAAGAGGTTGTAGTTTTTCCCACTGTGATAAAATTCCAGCCAGGGAGCTAACACGTTCCTTACACCAACCAGCCAGGCATGTATCCTTCGCCTTGACCATTTCCAATGTCTCGGTGACTTTTGGCAACTCGGTCATAATTTTTTCATATTTCATACCCGATTCTGTTATCGATGACTCATCCATGGGTATGTTTTCCAGAAATTGTATTGCATTTTGTAGAAAGTCTTGTATGATGGCAATATCATTGAGTATGGCGGAACGAAGACTGTTTGACAAGGCCTCCCAATAGCGACGACTGATTTGTTCAATATCCGATCGTAGGGGGAGAATATCAATGACAATACAATCAATGGATTCTTCGTTACTGAAAATTAGGAACGAAATATTTTTATTTTATTTTCCCATAAAATTTCCAAACTCTCCACCTACCTCTGAATCTTGGCAATTTTTTGGCTGAAACTTTTACATTTCTTGAAATTCCTCTCCCAATCATCGGCTGTCTGCAAATGAATGCCACACAGCTCTTCGATGTCCACACAGCCCAAGGCCACCCATGGTAACCATATTTTCTTGAATTTTCCCAATTTTTCGAATAGCTCTTCGGCTTTTTCATATAGGGGACCAAAATAGTGACGATTGTTCTCGACCATGGTCTTGAACAATTCTGGACCCTTTTCCGATAAACCTCGAAATCCGCAAGGTCTTTCAATAAAACGTCTTAGCTGGGTGTAATAACGTTCCCGGATTTCTTCTTCCGCTGGCATGAAACATAGTTGGCGTTGTCTACAAAGGAAAAAGGAAATGAGAGGAGGAAAATTGAGGGGAAGCTTTTGACATCTTTTCATAGAAAAAAGTATGCTCAGGTCCTGAGCCTGAATTTTTTGTTATGGAAAAAAAGTTTGCGCAGGTCCGGAGCATTAACTTTTCCCAGGGCCAAAAACGTCTTCAGATCATGAGTGCGAATTTTTTCTTATACAGGAAAAGTTGTTCAGATTCTGAGCCCGAATACTTTTCGATGAAAGAAAAGTGTGTTCAGGTCCTGGGCCCTGGGTGTAGTAACGCTCTCGGATTTCTTCTTCAGCTGGCATGAAACATAGTGGGTGTTGTCTACAAAGGAAGAAGGGAAATGAGAGAAGGAAAAATTGCCAGAAGTTTTTTCAGATGAAATCGAATTTTTTCCATGGGAAAAAAGGGTACTTAGATCTTGAGATCGAACTTTTTCCAAAGGAAGAAAATTTAAATCAGATCTCGAGCCCGATTTTTCCTATGGAAGAAAAATGTGCTCAGGTCCTAAGGCCAAACTTTTTCTCATGGAAAAAAGGTGTGCTCCGGTCCTAAGCCCGAACTTTTTTCAAGGTGCTCAGGTCCTGAGATCGATTTTTTTCCAATGGAAGAAAAGTGCACTCAGATCCAGAGCCCGTTTTTTTATGGCAGAAAAGTGTACTCAGATCCTGAGCCCGAATTTTTTCCTATGGAAGAATAGGTGGGTCAGGTCCTGATCCCGATTTTGTTCTATGGTGGAAAATTGTGTTCAGATCTTAAGCCAAAATTTTTTCCCAGAGAAGAAAAGTGTGATCGGGTCCTGAGCCCGAAGTTTTTCCTATAGAAAAAAAGTGTGCTCAGGACATGGCCCGAAATTTTCGCATGGAAAAAAAGTGTGCTCAAATCCTTAGCCTTAAATTTGTCCTATGGGAGAAAAGTGTGCTCAGGCCCTGAGGCCAATTTTTTTCCTATGGAAGAAAAGTGGGCTCAGGTCCTAAGCCCTAATTTTTTTCCTATGTAAAAAAGTGTTTTGGTTTCTAAGACAGGTTCTCAGGTTCCGAACCGATTTTTTCACTAAAAAAAAAAAAAAAAAAAAAAAAAAAAAAATAGCTGATCCCGCATTTTTTTTAATCCATCCTTACCGAAAAGCAATTTTTATATGAATATCCGGCAATTTATTATTCATGTCCACCAGACCGATAATGTACTGATATTCCAAGACCTTATACAGCTGATGATCCCAGTGCAATTTAAAAGCATCCAAATTTGTAAAACATTGCCTTTCCAAATGGGCAACCAATTCACGCAAATGACGCATTTCATCCTTCCAAATTTGACTTTGTGTAAAGAGATCGGTGTTCATGAGTTTGGCAACAGTCCGTTTAGCCTGTTCATGATACCCCACCAATAGGGTGTTATCTGTGGATAATTTCGAGACGGCAGCTTGTAGCATATTAACATAACGCAACACCGATTCTTCATCGTTCCATGCCACCGTTTCACTGTGTACCAATTTCGATAGTTCCATGGCATTTTTCAACATAATTGGTCGTTGACAGGGTATCATTCGATCACCAATGGTGTTGTGGAATGTGGCAATTTGTTGCAGCCGACGAGCATAGCACATGTACTTGGCAGCGTGGGTAGCCGCTGTCCTCAGTTCGGCGGGCACGCTGTAACCCATGTTTTCGAATTCTCGTACATCTTGGCAGAATGTCACCAGTTTCGGGTTGAATGTGACACGCATCAGTTGGCGTCCTTCTTTTTCGAATTTTACCACAGGTTGGTCGTCCCGTAATCTGAGGAAGGAATTTTGGTAAAAGTGATTATTTTAGTTCTGATGACTTTAGTGACTTACCGTAGATCTCCGGATTTCACTGCTGTTGTATGCTGACCACACCATATTTCAAAATTTGTTCTCAGCAAGGATTCAGTTTCCTCTTTAATTTCTTGCACAGCTTTGTTGATTTTCTCAAAACCCTCACGTCCAGATATAAGGTGGCTAACCTTTTCTATTTCTTGAATCTAAAAAAGGAATAAAATAAAAATAAATATGAATTGGAAGAAAATATTGAGAAGAATTATCAGAATAGCGGATTTAAGCCAAAAGTATTTGGAAACAGATTGTTTGTTTTGTTTTTTAATTTTTTTTTTTTTTAGAAAACTAGAAGGTGTTCCCTTAGAAGACAGAAAGGTCTTCTCGTAGAAGACTAGAAGATCTTTTCGTAGAAGAGCAGAGAAGGACTTCTCATAGAAGACCAGAAGGTCTTCCCATAGAAGACAAAAGGTCTTCTCAGAGAAGACGAGAAGGTTTTCTGAGAGAAGAAGAGAAGATCTTCACAGAGAAGGCGAGAAGGTCTTCTCATAGAAGACCAGAAGTTCTTTTCATAGAAGACCACAAAGTGTTCTCATAGAAGACTGGTGTTCTCATAGAAGACTTCTCAGAGAAGATGAAGGTATTCTCAGAGAAGGCGAAAAGGTATTCTCAGAGAAGACAAGAAGGTCTTCTCTGAGAAGGTCTTCACAGAAAAGGCGAGAAGGTCTTCTCAGAGAAGACCAAAAGAAGTTCTTCTCATAGAAGACCCGAAGAAGGTCTGCTCATAGAAGACCCGAAGAAGGTCTGCTCATAGAAGACCCGAAGAAGGTCTGCTCATAGAAGACCCGAAGAAGGTCTTCTCATAGAAGACCCGAAGATGGTCTTCTCATAGAAGACCCGAAGAAGGTCTTCTCATAGAAGACCAAAAGAAGGTCTTCTCATAGAAGACCAGAAGAAGGTCTTCTCATAGAAGACCCGAAGAAGGTCTTCTCAAAGAAGACCAAAAGAAGATCTTCGCATGGAAAACCAGAAGAAGGTCTTTTGATAGAAGACCAGTAGAAGGTCTTCTCATAGAAAACCAGAAGAAGGTCTTCTCATAGATAACCAGAAGAAGGTCTTCTCATAGAAGACCCGAAGAAGGTCTTCTCATAGAAGACCAGAAGAAGGTCTTCTCATAGAAGACCAGAAGAAGGTCTTCTCATAGAAGACCAGAAGAAGGTCTTCTCATAGAATACCTGAAGAAGGTCGTCTCATAGAAGACCAGAAGACAGTGTTCTCCTAAAAGACCAGAAAGAGGTCTTCTCATAGAAGACAAGAAGAAGGTCATCTCATGGAAGACCAGAAGAATGTCTTTACAAAGAAGACCAAAAAGTCTCTTCTTATAGAAGGATTTCTCCTCAGGGGATTTGATTTTTTTGAATTGAATACTTTTTTCTATAAAAAATTAAAAAAAAAAATTACTTTTTTAATTTTTTTTAACAAAGTATGTGCTTTACCCACCTGATATTGAACGACCTTCAACCAACGACATTCGTTACATATAACGGACAAATGTCCGGTATCCGGTTCCATATTGGTATCTGTCATTGCTTTGCGCAAATCATGCAATAGAATTTGTAGCGACTGCATAAACTGTTCCCTTTCAATGGTAAGCAGCTCCAAAACCGTGGGCCTTTGGATGAGCGTTTCATATTTTGAGAAAATAAAAATCACTTGCCGAGGATTACTCAAATGATGATGGAGTTGGGCCTTAAGTGCCGCCGCAATGCGCTCATCGATGGGCTGCAGAAGTTGTTCAAAATTTTGCAATGCCTTATTCCATTTCGTCTGTCCCATTGCGGAAGTGTCGAAAATATTAAACTCACGAAATGGTGAATCTGCGAGAAGCATTTCCTTCATTTCGTTATCATTGAGTAGCGTTGAAATTTGTTTGTAAAGATTTTTTATGTTTCGAATTTCCAACATACGTTCCTTGAATTGCTGGGGGCGTTTGGGTATGTGGGCATCTCCCACCCAGGGATGTTTGACATAATTCGGCCAAAAGAGTCTTGTGAGGGAATCACAGAGTTGTAACCATGATTCGGCTGTATCGATACATTGACTCATCAAACTATTGACATGAGAATTATTCAGAGACCAAATATCTTCGGCCAACAGTTGTTCCAAACAAGCTTCAATCAGGGTGTTTCCGATAACATCCATCATATCGGCCATACGATTTTGTGGAAATTGATACGGCAATCGCCATAGCTCATCGAAATTGTTGTGGGCGGCATCTAGGAACTCTTCAATGGACATGCCGCCATTGGTGTTGATGGAACTGTCAGAATGTAGAGTTGAGTTAGATGATAGGATTTAAGGATTATTGGTTATTTGTAGCTATGTACCTGATTTGTTGATCAATATTCTCCAGCACACTTATAAACATTTGAGCCGCTTCCCGTTCAATACGTGAGGAGTTCTTTTGATTCAGTTTTTGTTTCCAGTATTTAATTTCATCTTTGATCGAAGTAATGCCTATGAGATAAGGAATGTAGATTTTAGAGACATATTAGAAACATATGAGTCACAGTAGTCATAGGAAGTTTTTTGGAATTCGTACCAAATGGGTATTCATCGTAATTCATTAGTTTTGGGCTCTGAAAACCTGTATTACGAAGGGAAATAGCTAGCATTGTGAAATTTGAAATCATGATAACTTCTGGTGTGCAGTGAAAAACGCATTGTTTTGATATTTGCACCGAGAAGAAACTACAAAAAATCCTAAATGTGAAACTTTTGTGGGTGTGGTACCAGATAGGTCCGGTTTTTTTCAAATTCGTACTAAAAGGGTACTAAAATGTACTAAAAATTTCATAATTTGTATTGAACTATGGGAATTAGCAAGAACTATGAAATTTAAAGTGAGATTCACTGATGGAGTGCAGTATTGATGTACCAAAGGGTATTTGGAAATTCGAACTTTAGAGTTACAAAAGTTTTAAAATGGTACTAAACTTCTAAAATGTTACCATTTTGTATTATTTGAACGGATAGAGCTATAAACTTAAAATTTGGTTTGATAGTGAAGGTTGGAAAATAAGTTTGGTACATGGATGTGGTTTTGGAAATGTGAACTAAATGCAACAACTGTACTATTCGGTATCAAATTCGGTACAATTTAGTTTGGGTTAAACGGATTTATATGGAAATTTAAAATGTTTGTATTGAGGACTCTGCTGATGGGCAGGGTCAAGATAAAGGGTTGGGTTGGGAAATGCGTTCAGCAAGCGTACGATAGGAAGTAAATGGTACTAAATTTGGTATAGCGTGAACAGACATTGTTTGAAGTCTCAAATTTGGAGTTAAGATCGATGTTAGTGTGTACGGTTGAAATTTGGAGGTGGTTTCGGAAATACGTACTAAATAATACTAAATTTGGAAGCTGGATAAGGAATTGAGCTGGAAGTCTAAAATTTGCCATTGGATCACTGCTAGTGTGTAGAGTTGAGATTTGGAGGTGCTTTTGGAAATATGTACTAAAAAATATCAAGTGTTACTAAATTTGGTATTTAGGTGAGAAAGTAAGTTGGAAGTATAAAATTTGTGAGTTGGAAGTCTTTTGTGCGGTTTGGTTGATTAATGGCGGGGATTTGGAAATACGTTATATTAAGTATGAAAAGTACTAAGTAGTATTATCTATGGTATTTGGGGAAGGAATAGAGCTGGAAATCTAAAAATGTGGAGTGACAGTCTTCGATATTGTGTAAGATAAACTAAAGGGTTTTAAATTTTAAAAAGGTTTGAAATTCAAAAAGTGTACCAAAAGTACTAAAGACACTAAATTTGGTACCATTTGGAATTATGTGAAGGGATAGTGGTAAAATCTTGAAATTTGGTATGAGAATCCATTCCTGAAAATAAAGTTGATATAAGAAGGTGGTTTTGGAAATATGTACTAAATGTAAGCACTGTACTAAATTTGGTACAATCCCGTTGTCGGTGAACGGATGAAGCTGGAATTTTTAAATTTTTTTGGGAGGTTTGTTATAAAGAGGTGGTTTTGGAAAATGTGTACTAAGTGTAAGAACTGTACTAGATTGTGCTACATTTGGAACATTCAGGCTTAAGGTCAATGGAAATAACTGGAGTTTTTAAATTTTGTATTGGGGTTTATGTTGGTGGTAGGTTTGTTATAAAGATATGTGTACTATAAGTGAACGAAAAGTACTGAATTGTATTTTTACAAAAAGTACTTAATGGTACTAAATTTGCTATTGGGTAAAGAGAAAGGGCTGAAATCCTCCAACTTGATATTGAGGTCTTGTTGGTATTTGGAATTGAGATATGTAGGTGATTTTGAAAATGTGTACTATTATGTACATAAAGTACTGAATAGTACTAATGGTATTAAGTGAATGTATAGAGTATTTGGTGAACATATTGTGATTCAAATCTGAAATTTAATATTAGGTCCCTGTTCATTTGTAGCCTGAACATATGGAGGTGGTTTCGGAAACGTGTACTAAAATTGTACGAAAAGTACTGAATGGTACTACATTTGGTATTGGGTGAAGGGTTAGAGATTTAATTATTAAATTTGTTATTTAGTTTACTGATGGTATCTGCGATTGGCGGTGGTTTGGTATTTGTACTAAAAGTAGTAAATGGTACTGAATCCGGTATTGGGTAAAGGGATAAGGCTGAAATCCTCAAATTTGACATTGAGGTCACTGTTGGTATTTGGAATTGAGATATGGAGGTGGTTTTGATATTGTACGCAAAGTACTAAATTTGGTATTAAATGAATGTATAGAGTGTAACACATAGTGCTTCAAATCTGAAATTTGATATTGGGGTCCCTGTTCATGTGTAGCCTGGTCATATGGTGGTGGTTTCGGAAATGTGTACAAAAAATGGTACGAAAAGTACTAGATGGTACTATATTTTGTACTGGGTTAAGGGATAGAGATCCAATTCTGAAATTTGTTATTTAGTTTAGTGATGGTATCTGTGTTTAAGATTTGGCGGTGGTTTGGAAATGCGTCCTATATTTGTACGAAAAATTACTAAATGGTACAAAATTTGGTTAGGGTAAAGGGAAAGGGCTGAAATCCTCCAATTTGATATTAAGGTCTCTGTTGGTATTTGGAATTGAGATATGGAGGTGGTTTTGTAAATGTGTACTATAATTGCTCGAGAAGTACGAAATGGTACTAATTTTGGATGGAGAGATGTAAATTGTTTTGAACATGCGTACTAAATGTTAGTAAATTTGGTATTGGATGAAGCAATGGAGCTGAAAATCTGAAATTTGATATCGAAGTCACTGTTGGTGTCTGGTGGTGGTTTTGCATATGCGTACTATAATTGTTAGAAAAGTACGAAATGGTACAAATTTTGGATGGAGAGATGTATATTGTTTTGGATATGTGTACTAAATGTTACTAAATTTGGTATTGGGTGAAGGAATGTCGCTGAAGTTCTGAAATTTGATATTGAGGTCACTGTTGGTGTCTGTGGTTAAGACATGGTTTTGAAATGTGTACTATAATTATTCGAAAAGTAGTAAATGGTACTAAATAGGGTATTAGATTAAAGAATAGAGCTGGAAATTTTGGTGCCGAATTTTGATATTGAGGTCACTATCGGTAACGTAGATTGTGGTATGGAGGTGGTTTTGGAAATGAGTACTATAATTAATCGAAAAGTATTAAATGGTACTAAATGTGGTATATTTGATTTGAGAGAGATAAAATTCCGAAATTTAATATTTCGAAGCTATTTGTATGTGAAGTTGAGATTTGCAGTTTTGATTGAGTTTGGCCTAACACGAGCTGTTGAAAGAAATCTAGAATTTTAAGATGGACTTTTCGCTGAAAAGTAGCGGACACTTGCTATTAATTGATATAACACAAAAGTACGTAAATGAAGATTTACATTTGGCCACTACATGCGATTATACCCACTATAATTACCGATTCAATTACCTTTTCAAAATCTCTTTAGATCTGCACTCAAAATCTATAATTTCATTTAACGGTTTTGAAATGAATCTTCGAGGCAATATTTTACATTCTTGAAAATGTAGTTATATGATTTTGATACACACACGCACACAAAGATAATGGTTATGTGGCATATCGATGCCTTTTCCCTTCCTTACCTATGCACTTACATACATCTACATATATTTATAGCATCTGCATATGAATACATTGAAATAGTTTCTAACCTCCCTTTGAACACCATTGAATGTCCAAGGACATGCAATGATGAATGTAAATGTATAGGTAAGCTATTCTCCGGGTGTGAGTGTGTGTGTGTGTGTTCTTCTCTCCCTGTGAAATTGCAAGGATAGTTCTAAACGATACTTGGATGCATAGAAAGTAAAAATAACAAATTTGCATATCATTACATAACTTACCACTTTGAGGTAAACCCAATGTAGAACCAAGTGAAACATGTAAATTTTCCAGTAAACCACTTAACTCCGGACTATATTCGGTTTTCTGTGAAAAGTGAAAGAAGAAGATGGAGGAAAACGGATCAGTATCATAAAGCAAAACGAAAGTTATGGTTTTGGGTGGGGGCAGAAGTTTGAGGAAATGATAGCAATGTAACAAAAATCTCATTGCAATAATAAATTAAAAGGAAAAAAGGATGAAAAAAGAACAAACAAACAAATAGTCAAAAAAAAAAAAAAAATGGAAAAAACATAATTCCGGAAAAGTGTTAGAAACCACAATGGCATAAGAAATGTCACAAATGCCTAAAATCGTAGCAACATTCCTATGAAAAACCGAGAATGGCTTAGGAGTTGCAGGCAAGGAAGTGATGAAAAAACTATTTGTGGGAAAATCTTTCCAGGAAAGCAATTCCGTATTAAATTTTAATAAATAAAATCTTCTTTTTTTGCTGCAATATCAGGTAGATGAAGAACCATGATGGCCATTGCAAAGTTTATGCTAGATTTAAGTTGATAAGTTTAGAGTTTAAGATGTTAAACATAGTTTGGTACAAAGATGGGTTGTTGTGAAACGGAGAAGTTTAAATTTGCATAAAATTGTAAGTAGTAGGTTTATTTTAAAAGACATCCTTGAAATGATGAAATGCATATTTTAAAGAGCTGTAGATATCTTTGAAAGTCCTTAAAAATTGTTGGCAGAGGTCTTTCGAAAATGTCAGTAATTAAAGTCATAAAAGGCCTCAAAAAATCAGCGGCAATAATGGTGCTGTCTTGAATTGACAGCTACCAAGTAGAAACTAAACAATTACTAAATATGAGACGATAAACAATCTACATCCGGTTATTGATAAGAAGTCTCCCATCCAAAGTCATTGTTGAGAAAGATGAAATCTACTCAAAGCCTCAAAAATGGATTTCGTGAGGCTATCGAGAAACCACTTTGCTATTTGGTTATGAGAAGTTTCTTATATAGGATATGGTTATAGAAATGATGTTGTTTTTCATAAAGCATTCTTCATTACGAAAACAACGTCCGATCAATTATCTCGACAGATGGTATTTATACCCTACACCCTACTGTGGTCAGGGTAATATGTATTTGTGCATTTCTTTGTAACATAGAGAAGGAAACGAGTAAGACCCATAGTTCCTTTTGATCATCACATTGCATCATCTATGTTGATTTATGCTTGTCCGTCCGTCCGCCTGTCCATATATTTTTGTAAACAAAGTACAGGCGCATTAATTGTCTTATTGAAATAAAAATTTTCACAACTCTTTTTTTGTTTGACCCAAGGACGAATCCTATTGTAGTTGGAGAAAATCGGTCAAAATTTAGATGTAGCTCCCATATATATCTTTGCCCGATTTGCCTTTTTGTGGGCACAATCAAATTGAGCTCAAAAACAATTAAAAAAGCTGTAAGTTCGGCTGGGCCGAACTTTGAATACCCACCACCATTTGGTACAAATTTAACATTTTTCAAAAAAATAAATCCGTTAAAAATTCTGTTAAAATCTTGAAAATATCGAATGTAACAAGCTATTACAATATTCAAATGCGGAACTTAAAAAAATCTGTTTATAATGTAGCTAAAATCATCAAAATACCGAATTTAGGAAGGTACCATGGGGGTTATAAAACGTGGACCTGCACAGACAATTTTCTGTCATAGGCTGTAGTACCCATTAAGAACATCAAATGCGAAATTTGAAACAATTCCGGTAAATAATGTCGCTGAAATCGTCAAAATACCGAATATCGGGGGGTACTGTTATATGGGGGCTATACGAAGAGGTGGACCTACATGGTTCATTTTCCTTTTTATGCTGTAGTATCTATTACGAACTTAAAATATCAAATTTGAAACAATTCCGGTAAATAATGTCGCTAAAATCATCAAAATACCGAATATCGGGAGGTACCGTTGTATGGGGGCTATACGAAGACGTAGACCTACATGGCCCATTTTCAATAATACACATATGAGTAAAATTTTATCAATCTACTTCATTTCGTTCGGAAGCTAGAGTGATTTCCACAGACGGACGGACATTGATAAATCGATTTGTGGGGTCTAAAGTATATATATTCGAGGTGTTTCGAACGGAATGACAAACTTAATATGCCCTATGATGGAGGGTAAAACAAGCGTGTCAAATTTGTTGCAAATCGGTTCAGATATAGCTATAGCTCCGATATATATTATTAATCCGATTTGTTAAATTTCTCCTTCACATCCGTAATATGTAACAACGATATTCGGAGAAATATATCAAATGCTGTTCAGAACAAGTAAGAAAAGGCTATAGTCGTGAAGAGCCGACCATGTGATACCATACAACATTACAATATGTTGGAAGGCCTCTTATTTCAAATTTTTTTTTGGGAGATTTCGTTTTTGAAATAATGTCATAGAGGCCTTCACAGATGTTACCCTTAGTTTTTGACGGGGGCATTTGCCCAAAATTTTCGCCCCTCGTGGTGTTTATAGGTATTCAAAAATAATTTACACAAAAGTTGTGGTCTATTTTACAGCTAAATATAATCCAATGGTTATCCAAAATGACTATGCAAAATTCCATGTTGATTGGTTTTCAATTGTGACCTGTAGAGCGACTGCAACATCAGGGAAATTTTAATTTTTTGGATATATCCGATATTTATCCGATATCTGGGTTATCAGTATTACTATAATGATCAGAAGTGACATTTTAATATATGTGTGATTTTGCCGGGATCGGGCCATAATTGCGACCTAGCTTGATTACAAACTAACATGGACAGACGGACATATATAGCTATATCGACACAGCTTGGCGAGATTGGAAGATGCATATATAGGTGGGAAAACAATATTTCGAGGTGTTACATAATTTTTTTCGCCCAATCAAACTTATAATACCCCCAACACATAGTGTTGTAGGGTATAAATACTATTGCCAAATTTTATCGAAATCGGTTCAAATTTGGATATAGCTCTCATATATATCTTTATTCGATTTCAACTTTATGGTGCACCAACTGGTTAATATAAGCCCGAATTGAATGGATTTTGGCACATACGAACGATTTTAGACTAGAAGAAAGTGTATCGGAAAAAACGTAGCTAAAGGTCCCTTATATATGTTTCATTCGATTTTGTATTTTACTCCCTCACACCCGTTACTCCCTCACAACGATATTTGGTGTCAGATATAGCATGGAAATAACTTTGCTAAATTTTATAAAGATCGGTTCAGATTTGGTTATAGTTCCCATATTTATATCTTCATCCGATTTCATGTTTATTGTGCCTAAAAAGTGTAATATCAGCTCAAATAGGATGGATATTGATGAATATCGGTTTAGACACAAATGCCTCCGTCTAATTTAGTAGAATACAATGGCTGAGGCTATTCAAATCATTTTTTATTTTAGTTCACCCTCTGAATATTTGGCGATCATCTTTAGCAGCACAAGGCTTCTATACGCAAGTCTAACTTATTGCAAAGTTTTTTTGAGGATCGGAGAATAATGCGACTTGTAAGGTGATTACAAATTAACAGGGGGACAGACATACGGATTCTTCTTTGTTAAAATCCTTAGAATGGTTGAAGCTCTAATAATCCTTTGACAAATCCTTGATTATGGTTTTAATAATCCTTAGAAAATCTCTTTAGAAAAAATCCAGGATTCCAGGACTCTTACATCATATATTACAAGAGTTATAATTATTCAAAATGTTGGCCCTTTGTGGGGGGAGGTCTGATCCTACCATCTTTATAACAGATCTTGTGTTGATAAAAATATTCAGATGTACCAAGTTTGTATGGAAGCGGATGTTGATTTCGCGTTTTATGAGCTTCATGGATATTCAAAATTTCGACCCTTTGTGGGTCAGATGTACCAAGTTTGAATGGAAGCGGATGTTGATTTCGCGTTTTATGAGCTTCATGGATATTCAAAATTTCGACCCTTTGTGGGGGAGGTACCAGACGGAGTGGGCCGATATATCCTATCTTAACACCAGACCTGGGGTTAATAAAAATATTGATATGTTGTAAAATTTGAAGACAATCGGGCTCTTATAACAGTTATAATTATTTAAAATGTTGTCCCTTTTAGGGGGAGGTACTTGATGGAGTGGAACGATATCGTCCATTTTCGCACCTAATCTAGCACTGATGCAAATATTAGGATTTGTAGAAATATTAGTTGGAGAAAAATCGGATTATTGTTTCTCATTCTGTGCAGAAAATATATTTTTTGAAAATTTCCAACTTTTGTGGGGGAGGTACCAGAAGGAGTGGACCGATATATTTCACTTTAACACCAGTCCTTGTCCTTTCCTTTTATAAGAGTTGTAATTATTCAAAATTTTGATGTGGACCGATATTGTCCATTTTCGCACCTGACCTAGCACTGATGCAAATATTAGGATTTGCGCAGTTTGGTCAAAATTGGATTATCCTTTTTGTTTCTGTGCAATAAAATATTTTCTTTGAAAATTTCGACATTTTGGGGGTACCAGAAGGAGTGGACCGATATTGCCCATCTCCGAACTCGATCTAAGTTTCACAAAAATATTACGATATACCAAGTTTGGACTAAATCGGATACTCCCTTCGAGAGTTATCGTGCGCACCAGCCATACAGAAAGACGGATGGACGGACATCGCTAGATCGTCTCCAAATGTCCTGAAACGGATTTGGTTCAAAGAGACCTAGGGTCTTCAACTGTTATTTCGAAGAGGCACGTTTTGGCCGTATCAAAAGATATATATCCTCTCTAGCCATATGGGTGAGGGCATAATGAAGGATACTAGCTTTTAGAAAAATCCTAATAGTCTTTGAAAAAAGTCCACAATCTTCTGGTTCTGCAATAAATCCTTAAAAATAACACCTAATACACTTCATGGAAAATCACATTTTTTTAATTTTTATAATCCTTGGAAAACCTCAACAAATATAGCTCTGCTTACCCGCACTTATCCTATTTCCATGGATTCCTATTTTATTTCATTAATTTTTCCCTTTTTGCTAACCTTTGCCGTCACTCATTCATTCGTTCATTGAATTATCTGTTCACACATTTCCATTAACAATTTTTTGCTCGAGAATTTAAATGAGTTTTCGTTGCGTTATTTATATTTTACGGTTTTTCGAAAATTTTCATTAGTGAAATTTGTTTTCTCGTGTTTTTCTTGCTCTCCCTCTTTTGAAATAAATAAAAACTAAAAAATTGTAGGTGTTTTTCTTGCCAATGGTATTGAGAAGTAAAACAAAACAAAACAAAAACATGAAAAGACAAATACAAATGAAAAGTTGGAAACTGGATTACCAGCAACGAGCTGCTGCAGCAGCAGCAAAAGAAGAAGCCGTAATAAACAAGCGTCGTCTACTAATCAAACATACCCGAACATTTGCATGCGGTGAAAATACACGTGAAACAGAATTGTAAATGGATTTAACCAGACCTCCTTCGAGCGTCAAAATGCCAAGTGGTTGGTGGTTATCCATGCCAGCTGTAGTCGATGACGTCTGTTTTGCTGTGCTGCCTTCACCCCCGCCACCATCATAGGTTCTAGAGCCACCACCTCGGCTGCCGCCACTGTTCGCTCTGGCACCCACCTGCGGTATTTTGTAGAACAGCAAGGATACTTCATCGTTGGGTATGCGATGTTGAAATTTAATTGTATCTTCGGCTTTATTATGTACAGCCGAGATTACGGTAAGTTCATCGTTATCCAAGAACTCTAATATTCTGGCGGTTTGCTCGTCCAATGCCAGGCCTGTGGGTAGGCGGCCGGAGAAATATTCCACTGTAAATCAAAACAGCCCATGGAAGAGAGATAGAGATATACAAATCGGTGGCATTAGATACGTATGGTAGGTATGACAAACATACATACACACAGAGATAAACAATGAGCCCGTAAAGAACAAAGATGAATCTTGAGAATTTAGGTCAGTTTAATTAGAAGCCACAAATGTGGACAGCTCAGCTTTTGCTTTGGCAAAACAGAACAGAACAGAACAAAGCCGAGGAGTAATTAGTCATCTGTGGCCAAAAGGAGTTGTGTGGCTTAAATTTTAGGAACACACATATGCCACACGCGATTCTCCAGCTACTTACCTGAGGTGTTTAAGATGAATTTAGTTTTTTGGGTCATACTCGGCCCGGTGCTCCTTACGGTGGTAGAGTTTAAATTTTAAAAATTTTCCAAGGAAAATTTAAAAGTTTTTTCTCCGCTGCTATCCTTAAATAGCTTATGTATGAGTGTTTCTCGCTAAACTTGTTTGCTTAACAGGACTGGACTTGACTATCCAGCTGTGTTGGTGTCATGTGGCCTGTGTTGTCTGCTAGCCAGCCTGCCTGCCAGCCTTTGGCCTTGTTTCCCTTGGCAACCAGCCATATCCATTTGTTGCCATGGTTAACGTGGTTGTCCGGGTTTCACTCACCTGTTTGCCAATACATGGTCGGTGTTGTTGTTGTTATTATTATTGTTTTTGTTTGTTATTTGCCCGGTTTATTCATTCATTCATAGAAAAGTTGTTTGGCTTGTTGTTGCCGTTGTTGTTTACAAACAACAGCAACATTAACAGTCACGTGCTAAAATGCCTTTAGTGGTTGTTTTAATTTAATTGTTATCCTGGGGTTTCCTTTGACCGTCGACAACATCGTCATCGCCGTCATCATCATAGCCGTCATCTGTTGTTTGTTATTGTTGTTGTTAGTTTAGCCTAAATCTATTTGACTGTCGCTTTTTGACTGACAAGTGTCATTGAAAATGTGTAACGCCAATTTTAGCCTTTGGCGGATTTTAAATGGCAAGTTTTATACTTTTACCATTGCAGGATACGGGTACTTTTGGTTGGAGTTGGGTGTTAAATGGAATCGAATTAAAATCGATAGTTGCGGATTAAATGCAATTAACAGGGGGCAAAACAAGGTGATGTTCATCGATTTTAAAATGGTGTGAAAGGTAAATTTAAATTATTCATCGAATTTTTTAACAAGTTGAAACAGGTGTTTAAATTTTTGGAAAACTAGTTATATTACACAAAATTGAGAACATTCGCACCCGTTTTAGTTAAGTTCTTAAATCATTAATATTTGATGACCAATGAGGCCATACGGCCGGCTTTGACCGTGATTATGTGAAAGAGATTTTGTTTGATTTGAATGGTCTTCGTCGATCTTTAAATTAGCTTTTTGACACAGAACATCTCAAACATCATGTTTACAACACTGAGAATGAAAAATAGAGCTAAAACCATGGTACAATAAGTAGGTAGAACAGCTTCGTAAAACTACAAAAATACAGCCCAGATGTTATGTCCGCTTCCTGTCAGACTCTTTCAAAATTATTGTTTTCATTTTTTCATTTTTTTCCTCTTTTTTAAAATGACTGTCTGGAAAAATTAATAAAATGTCTGGATTTTTCTCTTAAAAATATAATCCTAACTGTTCAATCTTTCAATTTCATAGCTATACTGGTTAATAGCTTTAATGCGCGAGCCGCAATTCATGTGTCTTCCAATCATTGTTTTTAAAAATATTTCTTTTCATTTTTCAAAACAATTAATACATACACAAAATTGGCATAAGTCGGGCACACTAAGAAAAAAAAAAATGAAATCAGCTGTTAGCTCTACCTTACCTTTTTATTGTACCATGGCTAAAACTAAAGTTACGTTTGATAACCATTAAGGGATCGCAAATTGAATCACCAATGAATGTTTATACCCTCCACGATTAAAGTTGAGAGTATAATAAATTCGTAATATTATTTTCAACACCCCATTAAGTTCGTCATTCCGTTTGTAACTCATCGAAATAATCATTTTAGACCCAACAAAGTATATATATTCTTGATCAGCGTAAAATTCTAAGACGATTTAGCCCTGTCCGTCCGTCTGTTGTAATCACGCTACAGTCTAAACGAATTAAGATAAGAAGCTAAAATTTTACACAGATCTCTCTTTTGTCTGCAGGCAGGTCAAGTTCGAAGATGGGCTTTATCGGTCCACGATATCGTATAGTCCCCATATAACTGTACCCCCCGATATTCGGTATTTTGATGGTGTTACCCACACTTTTCAATGGAATTGTCTTAAAATCCAGACAAGTAGTTCCTTGTGAGTACTTCACCCCCTGAGAGAGAATTGTCTATACAGGTCCACGAAATCGTATATCCCCCATATAACGGTTCCCCCCGATATTCGGTATTTTTATGATTTTACCCACATTTTTCATGGGAATTGTCTGAAAATCCACACAAGGAGTTCCTTGTGGGTACTTTATACCTCGGCAGAGAATTATCTATATAGGTCCACGATATCGTATATCCCTCATATAACGGTACGCCCGATAGTCGGTATTTTGATGTTTTTAGCATTTTTTTCAACGGAATGGTCACAAGGGGTTCTTTGTACACAAGGGATTCTTTGTGAGCACTTCACCCCCTGAGAGAGAATTTTCTATACAGGTCCACGAAATCGTATATCCCCCATATAACGGTACCCCCGATATACGGTATTTTTATGATTTTACCCACATTTTTCATTGGAATTGTCTGAAAATCCACACAAAGAGTTCCTTGTGGGTACTTTATGCCTCGGCAGAGAATTATCTATATAGGTCCACTATATCGTATATCCCCCATATAACGGTACTCCCCTATATTCGGTATTTTGATGATTTTAGCCACTTTTTCCAATGGAATTATCTGAAAATCCACACAAGTAGTTTCTTGTGAGTACTTTACACGCAGACATAGATTGTCTTTATAGGTCCACAATATCGTATATCCCCCCATATATCGGCACCTTCCTATTTTAGATATTTTAAAGATTTTAAAAGAATTTTTAATGGATTTTATATTTTTTGAAAATTTTCTAATTTGTTCCAAATGGTGGAGGGTATTCAATGTTCGGCACGGCCGAACTTACTGCTTTTTTACTTGTTATACCTTCCACCATACTATGGAGGGTATATTAACTTTGTCATTCCGTTTGTAACACCTCGAAATACTCATATCAGAACCAACAAAGATATATTTCTTGATCAGCGTAAAATTCTAAGTCGATTTAGCGATGTCCCTCTGTCTGTTTGTCTATCCGTCTGTCTGTTGTAACCACTCTATCTTTCGAATGAATTGAAATAAAAGGGTAAAATTTTACACACATGTTTATTTTTCCAGTAGGCAGGTTAAGTTTGTAAATGGGCCATGTAGGTCTACGTTTTCACATAGCCTCCATATAACGGTATCTCCCGATATTCGGTATTTTGATGATTTTAGCGACATTATTCACTGGAAGTGTTTCAATTTTGGTATTAGAAGTTTGAAATGGATACTACGCCCTAAGACAGAAAATTGTCTATGCAGGTCTACGTCTTCGTATAGCCCCCATATAACGGTACCTTCCGATATTCGGTATTTTGATGATTTTAGCGACATTATTCACCGGAATTGTTTCAAATTTGGTATTTGAAGTTCGTAATGGATACTACACCCTAAGACAGAAAATTGTTTGTGCAGGCCCACGTCTTCGTATAGCCCCCATATAACGGTACCTCCCAATATTCGGTGTTTTGATAATTTTAGCGTCATTATTCGCCAGAATTGTTTTAAATTACGTATTTAGAGGTCTGTGAGGGAACTACACTCTGTGACAGAAAATTGTCTATGCAGGTCCATGCCTTCGCATAGGCCCCATATGTCAGTACCTCCCTATGTTCGGCATTTTGACGATTTTATGTACAATACCCACCGAAATTGTTTGAGATGTAGTATTTGAAGTTCGTAATGGATGCAACATTCGTGCGAGAAAATTGTCTATGCAGGTCCAGGTCTTCGCATAGCTCCAATATAACGGTACCTTCTTATATACGATATTTTGATGATTTTAGCTATATTATGCACATTTTATTTTAAGTTTCGAATTTGAATATGGTAATGGCTTATGACAAACAATACCTCTGTAGGTCCACGTCGTATAGACTCCAATATAACGGCTATATTTGGTATTTTTAAAATTTTAAGAGATTTTATTTTGGATTTTATTTTTTGAAAATGTCCAAATTCGTTCCAAATGGTGGAGGGTATTTAAAGTTCGGCCCGACCGAACTTACTGCTTTTTAACTTGTTGAGCATTCTAAATTGATTTTATGAAGTGTTTTTATCCGTCTGACTGTCTTCCGTATGTCTGTACCTCAGATGTATCTGGATAATTTGTATTTAAATCGGCTGTATAGGTCCAAATTTAAGAATCGACCTCTTACAACTCTACCCATCGTCTTTTGTCAATTTTAAATTAAGGGGATTTCATTAAACCAAATTTTTTATGGGTCCAGTACTTGCTATAGGCCCCATAGAACGGTTAATGCTGATTTTGGATACTTGAAAGGATTCTGTCTTTTTTCCAACCACGTGAGTTCAAACTTGATATATCGACTTCCAATTTAGTATAATTTCTTTTCCAATCACTTTTTCGATATAGGTCCTCTATTTTGTATAAATATTATATAAGCATAACTTATGGATTTTTTAAAAATTTTTGTAAATAACTTCCTGACAGAAAATGGTGGATGTTTAAGAACCGGTTGACCGGAATTTTTGGATTTTTAAATAATATATTAAAGATTTTCTGGCGGAAAATCGTGGATTTTCTAAGAATTATTGTGAGGGACCTTCTGACCGAAAGTCGTGGATTTTCTAAGAATTTTTGTAAAGGACGTCCTGACCAAAAGGAACTTTAAACCGAAAAACTGGAGTCTTATGAATAACCTGCTGAATGACTTTACTGATTAAAAGTTGTGGATTTCGGTTGATTTTTGAGGATTACCAATTAATTCTAAACTTTTTGGTGAGGATCTCCTGAAAATCGTGCAATTATTTTTTTATAGTTGTGTTTAAGGATCATCGTGGATTTTCTAAGGATTTCTGAAAAGGACCTACTGACCGGGAGTAGAGGATTTTCTAAGAATTTTTTTTTTTAAATGCCCCCTGAGCGGAAGAATTGAATTGACTAAGAATTTTTGAAAAGGACGTCCAGACCAAGGATCTCCTGAAAAAAACGATGTTTTATGAACCAACAGGGTGAGTGTCGTCTATTTCTTTTTAGAATAATTTTTATACACTTGCTGAAAAAAAGTCATGAATTTTGGTTGATTTTTTTGAGGATATTCCAACTAAGTATGTTTGAGGACAATCGTGGATTTTCTAAAAAATTTTGTAAATCACATCAAAAAATAAATAAATAAATAAATAAATAA